CCCCCCGCTCGTACTTTTCTTCTTCCCCCTCACTCTCTTCGTTACTCTTTTCTCTCCACTCTCGCCATGTGGTCTCTCGTCGCTAGCCTCGCCCTCGCAGGCGCCGCCAACGCCCAGGTCACCGCCACCTTCCCCAACGGCGACACCAACCCCGCCGCCCCAGAGTTCCTCCCCATCGGCGCCCAGGTCAACCAGACCTCCATGTCCCGTCTTCTCTCCCTCAACGGTATCGACGACTTCTGCCTTTACGGCCCTCCTGAGGAGGGTCCCGACTCGCTCATCGGCAACGTTGAGCCCATTGTCGTCGCCTACTGCACCAAGCCCCGTAACCAGGCCCGGTGAGTTTTTCCCAGCCTTCCAGTCTAGTGTGCCATTGTGGTGGCGAGCGGGCGTGGACGGGTGGGTGCGGGTGCGGGTGCGCGCGCTCGCCAAGAGGAACCGATTCATCCAATATTCCCTCGGGACACCCAGAAAGGGCCCGGGGAAGAGGTATGCCGCCCCAGCAGCCCGCATACGCCATGTGCCATGCGCCTTGGCCAGCATAGTATGCATTTCGCCTTGGCTCTGTTGCACAGCCTCGCCGCCACCCAACTCTCACTCCCACACACCACATATGCATCACAGAGCAACCTCGCTGACGGCCCAGTCTGATCCCCGACGGCGCTATCCACTCGGCCCACGTGAGTTGAATTGGGAGGCTTGTCGCGCGAGGGCCGTCGCGTAGTGATCGGCTGCGGTTGCAGGCGTGCCTGTTCATGTTCTCCGCAGCCGAACGCCTAGCCTCGCGCCAAGCCGACAATATGTCACACCGCTTTTGCATCAGACTGACTTGCCCGCAGCTTATCAAGACCCCGCTTTACGTCCAGATTTCGGGTATGTGGGACGGCACCACCGTCAACATCCCCGCCGGTGACACCGGTGGTGAGCTCGACCCCCACGGTGCCGAGAACAAGGGCAACCCCGTTGGCGGCAACGTCACCACCAACCTTGCCACTGGCCGTGACATCTTCTACGAGGAGTGGATGTCGTTCGTGAGTCTATCTCTTGTGCAGGCTGTGTCGAGCTCGCTGCGGATGCGCAGTCTGCCAAGACCAACCTTCCCTCCATTGGAACTCCCATTGGAATCAAAGCCCATAGGCCCATAGGCTCATCTGAGCGCCTTTTGCTCGCCCCCCTCGCTTGCTCCAGGACAGCGCGCTAACCCACAGATCTCGTTCGACCAGTTCTGCCTCCGTATCTGCACTGCCGAGGACCCCGCCAACGGCGTCACCGCCGCCCTCCAGTGCGAGCACGAGCTTGACATCATGGGCTGCCGCTTCGTCATGGCCATTGAGGACCACTTCCGCTCCAACGGCACCTTCACCGAGTGCGACGGTGAGCCCGCCGCTCCCCCCGGTCTCTACCCCCTCCCCGGCGGTGGCACTTCGACTTTCCGCCAGCGCTACACCGGCACCTGGACCAACTCTGCCAACCGTGAGACCGGTGTCTTCACTGTCGGCCGCACTGTCACCCCCTCGGCCCCCGCCTTCTGGCCCAAGACTTCGAACTGCTTCACCTACAGCACCATCTCGAACGGTGTCGACATGGCCAACCTCATGGTTACTGCCGCCCCCACCGTCCTCGCTAAGGGCTCTTCGTCGGTCGTGACTGGCATCGCCTCCACTTCGCAGGCTGTTGTCACCACCCCCACCAAGGTCCCCACCAAGCCCGCCCAGCAGTCGAGCGGCTCTGCCACCGCCCCTGCCACCGACAGCGCCGGCCGCACCACCGGCTCCGTCGCTGCCCCCGCTGCCTCGGCTTCCACCACCGGCTCGGGCGCCTCGGCCCTTGTCGTCCCGGCCCTTGCCGCTGTCGGTGCCGCCGCTGTTGGTGTTCTCGCTGTCTTCTAAGTGACACTACTCTAGATTCTAGGCTGTAATACCTAGCACAGCTATCAATACCTCCCCTTTCCGCCCTCCTCATCTGGCGTGATTACCATAGCGGCATGCCGCTCCCCCCCAACCGGACATTAATCACTTCGCATGCCTCTGTGTGCATTGTCGCTCCTTATGCACCGTTTCATGACACGGCGAGAGTTGTTGCAGGTTGCAGATGAGGCTGTGATGTTGACTGTGACTCTGCAGGCTCAGCTCGTCGTGGCTCGAGCGCTGCCCTATGTCCTTCTGTTGGTATTCTAACATCACCTCACCGAGATATACTATACATGATCTACAGCCTAGCAGTTGTGGCAGCAAGGCCCTCCGGCGCCTGCACCCGCAATGGCCTCAATGACTTCGCCGATAGCGCCAGCAATATCAGCCTCGAGAGGCGCCTTCTCACTCGATCCCACTGCCTTGCTGAGGGGAACGTCGCTCTTGATGGCCGCCTTCTCGTCAAGCACGTCGGCCTTCTCATCGATGCCGTTCACCTGCTCGTCGTCTCCCGCCGCGTGACCGTTACCGTTGGCCGCCTTCTCCTTCTCCGCGGCAGCCTTGTCAGCCGCAGCGAGCTGCTCGGGTGTTGCCTCGCGCGCGAGATCGCCAACGGGCTTCTCGTTGAGAATGTGCAGCTGGAACAGCGCGTGACGGAACGTCGCGACCGGCTGCGAAATGCACGGTGCGATGAGCTGGGGTCAGGGGTGTTCGAGGACTCTCCGCCTTCCTTCCATAAATCACTCGCCTCCCCCTCCTGCCATACCACTCACCATCTTGTTCCATCCCAGCAAAAGCGCCACGCCGCCCATCAACACCACGCTGCGCACGACACCCTTGATCGCCGCCTTGGCAGCCAGCGCATCGTGCTCCCACACCGTAGTCGTGAGGAGCTCGTGCGCCTGCGGGTCCTCGACTTGCTTGCCCGTGATCACGCGCAGGACGATAGCCTTAATCCGTGCGATGGTGCGCGATGGCTTGGTCTTGATCACAGTACGGTCGTTCTTGGCGTTGACCTGGCGTCAGCATTGAGCGGGCCAACCTCCACTGTTCCCCTCCCCATTTGTCGCCTCCAGGACCTTCCTCCACCAACACCATTGCACCGTCCACTATCTCCTGCCGCCAGCGGCTCGGAAGACCCACCTTCATGAGGACGTAGACGAACACAGCCACCGATGCGAGCTGGATAAGAAGGTAGACGACGCGGACGTAGCGGATCGTGTCGGCGTTGGTGATGTCGAGCTGCTTGGTCACAGCGGTCGCAGCGACGCGGACGGCGAGCATTGTCCCGACCTTGTCGAGGACCTTGCGATTACGGAGGGGCGCGGGGATGGCCATTGTCAGCGAAGAGGAGGTGTGAGTGGAAAGAGAGTGTGTGAGGGAGTGTCAAGTCAGAAGCGATGGAGAGATGAAGATTATTGTCAGCAGCGGCAAGGTGACACGACGCGCCCTGGTCCGCGGTCCATACCCGCGATCGGGTCAGGCACTGCACAGGCGATTCTTCACTCCCGCTTGTGACCAGCTGTCTGAGCATACAGTACACGGCATGACTGTGCCGTTGCGGCATATCTGCGGCGCAGGTGTTAGAAAGCCGGGACTCTCTGCGATCTCTACGTCCAGCCTGCGCATGCGCAATACGATAATGAGAGACGCGGGATTGGGACTCGGGGGTGTGAGCAGAGGCTGTCGGCCTGTCGGCCTGCGCCGCAGTCGGTAAAAGCCGTATCGAGAACCACCCGGTTTCGCATGCTGAATCGCCTGGCAGGCGGGCGGGCCTTCCTTCCGCTCTCCCGAGTCGCCAGTCATGTCCGCACTTCATTACAACTCTTCTTCCAAATGCACTTCCCCTCCCTTGCCAGTTCTCATCTTCGAGGGTACTCGTGACGTTAGTTCGCCAAGTGAGCGTCGCTTGCATCATGCACGACGCGGGGGTGCAGCTGTGGAAAAGGTTGCGTCAAGGTGATTTTGGGGTGGTATGTAGACATGACATGAGCAAAGACGTCATTTTATTGCGGAAGAGCAAGTCACCCTACAACTTGTCTCACGATTCTCCGTCTGCTGCCTGTTCAGACATATAAGAAGCGGCGACGTCGGCTTGACGACACTCATACTTGACGACACTCTCACCACCATGTCACCTAAATCCATCTTCTTCATCGGTGCTACTGGTGCGTCTTCCCCGCCGTCACTCCTCACACAGGCTTCATCGGCGCGCAGGCGCTCGACCGCATCCTGAAGGCCGATAAGACCGCGCGCGTCTCCGTCCTCGTTCGTGATGCATCTAAGGGCGCGGGTTTCACGCGCATCGACAGCCGCATCACCCCCGTCCACGGCAGCATGGAGGATCTCCCCCTCCTCGAGGACCAGGCGAGCAAGCATGACATGGTCGTGAACACAGCCAATGCAGACGGCGAGGCAGAGACCGCTGCCATCCTGCGCGGCATGGCGCGCCGGACGCGTGAGAGCGGCGAGCGTGCCGTCCTCATCCACACCAGCGGCACCGGCGTGCTTTCAGACGTGAGCAGCCTTCCCACCTCCCTCGTTAACCCCAGACCGCAGACGGCGAGTACGCCGGCGACAAGATCTACACCGACTACCTGGCGGACACGACCCAGGTTCCGCCGTGGCATGCCCTCTCGACTCTCCCAGACACGCAGCTGCACCGCAGCGTGGATCTGGCGATCGAGCGCGCCGCCGAGGCCGGGCATGTGCGCGCCTACATCGTGGCGCCCAGCACCATCTTCGGAATCGCGGACAACGCGTTTGTCCGCGCCGGCCTCGCGAACCCTCAGTCCCAGCAGATGCCTTACCTCATCCGCGTGAGTGCGGCCCGCGGCCGCGCCACCACCGTCGGGCCAGGCAAGAATATCTGGAACATCGTACACACGGACGACCAGGCTGTGAGTGCATCACGCATTTGATGGCGAGCTCCCCGCTGACCCCAGGACCTCTTCGGACTCGTGTACAAGCACTCGCTCACGGACGAGACCAACCCCACCGAGCCGCAGTACTTCATCGGCGAGAATGGAGAGTACGTCATCCGCGACGCCGCAGAGGCGATTGGACGCGAGCTCGAGACGCGCGGACTCGTCGGCAGCGCAGCGCCTGAGCCACTCAGCAAGGACGAGCTAGGGAAGTACTACAACGGCAGCACGTTCCTGGGGTCAAACTCGCGGGGCCGGGGCGTGCGCTCGCGCAAGATTGGCTGGGAGCCGAAGTACGGCCTGAATGACTTCTTCAAGAGTCTTAAGGCCGACGTGGAGATGACGCTCGAGAGCCGGCGCGGGCGCGACGAGCAGGGCGAGTTCAAGTTCGGCGGGTGGGCTGTGGCCAAGGATGGCGTGTGGACGCTGCCGGAGACGCACTTTTAGGAGGCAAATGACACAATGTAGCGATAGTATGTGACTGTTTCGGACCGCGGCCTAGTCATACAGTGCATCTAGTTTACAGCTGATACGTCGTTGACAAAATCGCACCCCGCGCGCCTACATTCCCGGTGGCAGCGGCGCTATGTGCACAGGATGCACAGGGTGCGCCACGAGCTCCTTGTACACGTCCTCGGGGATGTCCTTGACGAGCGCGAGCGTGATTCCTATGACAGCCCGCGCCTTGAGTGGCGGGAATGTGCGCAGGAGCTTCATGGGTCTGGGTGTGAGCTCGTTCTGCTTCAGACGCACGACTTGGACGCCATAAGGTCTTCACGGATAAGCAGCAGTTGTGCGATGATACACAGGATGTTGAGGTGGACTCCAAATGCTAGCAGGAAGCTATGTCAGCGCACCCATGCCGAGACTCACTCCCAGAGCCGGATAACCTCCTCAAGGGGTGGCGTACACGCACACATGGTCAGCACGGCTGATGTCAGTGCTCTCTTTCATCTTCTCGCGTCCGCCTCTCGTCTCCACTCACATGGAAACGCGTAGATTTGCCCTGTGAGATGACAGTCCCGCAGGTGCTCGTACAACTCCGGATCGACGATGCGGAGACATTTGTCGAGGATCTCGGCGCCGCGTATCGCGCCTTCAGTGTTGGTGCCGAGTACGAACTGGGGTACACCGCGCTCGACGAGCGCAGCAAAGCATGCGTATGCCTCGAGCTGCGACGGCATGACGTACAGGAACGGCGCGGCCAGCGCGTTCATTCCCTGCACGTAGGTGAAACTCCGCTCGCCGCTACACTGTGACTTCCATGCGAACGCCTCGAGGAGACGGATGAGCATGGCCTCTTGTACGCGGCCCTGGAAGAGACTGTCGGTGCGGAAAGTACGGTTTGTGTCTTCCTTGACTGGGATGAGCGAACCGTCTGGGTGGACGAAACCGTCCAGGATGAATGGGCGAGCACAGAGGAAGATGGGAGGGGGAGAGACGTACTCTTCAATGAGACAGAGCTAGGGCCAAGGCCCACGAATCGCAGGTAGTCTTCCGCTCCGAGGTGGTCAACCTTGAGCATAAGTTTCCAGATGCGGGGACGGAGCGATGGCCGACCTTCCTGTCGTTAGCTCGGACAAGGCGGTGTGCGCACCGGCTCGGGGATGCCCTCCGTGAGGATAATGCGGCGGATACGCTTGAGCCCATCCGCGATCTCCGAGGAAGAGCGATATCGCGCGGCCGGATACGCGCCGGGCGGCGAGAGAAGGGCGGCGAGCTGGTCATACACGTCGACCGCGTGTGAGCGGGACATGGTGGGAGGGGACAATGGTGCACGCGACGGGGCGACGTGCAGTAAGGTATGTAGGCGGGGTAAGGGCAGCGACACCGTCAGTCAGACGCAATGAGCATGCGACGGGGTCGGGAGTCGGCGAGTTGAGTTCCGGCGATGACAATGGAACGGAGGAAGGAGCAGGATGGCTGTTTGGTTGGGTGGCCAAAGCCGATTGTTGACGCCGCATTCAGTTTGCCTCCACTCTCTCCGCCATCCCATTTCATCCGCCGCATTGGCACTCGCCTCGTACGTCTATCAATATCGTACCCTCGACGTCTCCACCGTCGTAGCTTACCCCAGCCCCCGCTGTGCGATGGCTCGAGCGCGCAATGCTCAGTGCGGAACTTTCAACTGACATGGTGCGTTGGGGGAGGGGGAGGTGCCGAGAGACAGCAATGGCTGACAACAGGACAGGATTACTCAGGTGCGCTGGACGAGGGAGGGCCGAAGCGCTGACGACAGCTGCAAGATGCCATACTAGATGTGAGTAGTGCCTCGAGGCGATATGAGGGCTCCTCCGCGCGCGTCGAGACGCCCTCCTCCTCCTCATCTCCTTTGTTCTGATCGTGCTGTCTCGTGATACCTTTCCGGCTTTATCTTTTCTTCCTTCCCTCCCCACTCCCTCCATCTTGCTCTCCCCCACTCACACCAGCTCCTAACCATCACCGCCTCCTCGATCGAGTACATAACACACCGCACGCAGTTTGAGCAAACCTCGACAGCGATACCGACAACACTACACACGACCCAGGCCGCGCGAAGAAAGGACTACCGCGGTGAGCCCGCCTGCCCTTCGCCATCTGACCGCAGCCGCGATCGAGCAGTTTGTTAGCGATATCGTCCGGCGCGCAAAGGATATCGAAACGCTCATTGCCGCGCTTCCCAGCAAGGACGACAGCGGTGTCCGCGTAGGTGGGCCACATGTAGTGAAGTTGACGGCAGGCGACACGACTCGAGGAACTGCAGGCCGAGATGGTAGTGGCTAATCGGGAGTACAAGGAAGCATTAGGGCAAGCTGGTGAGCTTGAGCACAGGGGGACGCTGACGGCAGAGGAGCTTCTGGGCGAGCTGAAGAAGGTGTTACGCATCACGCTCGGCGATGGTACAGAACGGAATATCACAGCCAGCCTGACAAGGCTCGGCATCCCGCAATCATAGAGATGGTATGGCATCAAGTAGCGTTCGATTTTTGGCCTCTTACTACCCTTGCGGCTGACTACCTCGACCATCGTACTGGGTGTACTCTCGGTGTATCCTCTCAGGCAAACACTGACCCGACTCGCGCCCCCCCCGCAGTAGATGACTACGCACATGTGCAAGTATCTCTTGCCAGAGAGTTCAACCTCCCACAGCTCACAGTGCTGACGCGCACATCGTTCAGGACTCGCATAACCAAAAGAAAGGGTGATGAATTGCAAAAGCAAATCCTGCCCCACACGGGCTCGAACCGTGGACCTCGGAGTTGTTGCGAATATTCGTAACAGCTCCACGCGCTAGCCAACTGAGCCATAGGGCAATTGGAATTGCTGATGGGATGAAGAAAGTTGCGTATATAAACACGAACATGGCCTCTCCACCCTCGTGCGAGCCTTTCACCTTTCTGCAACTCCTGCATACCTATTAGAACAAAGATCGTATGAGTCGTCTCGAATATAAGCATCCTTGCGCATATACCCACCAGATGCGGAGGAATGTCCGATCATCCCGGGCCCCTAATCTCTCCATCTCGGACCCTCGGCCCGACATCGTCACCCTCTCTCTACATGAACGCGTCCCATCTCTCCAACAACCCAACATGCATAGTCACCGCCCACCAAAATGGCAGACATGTCAAGCCGGCCAGTATACCACTTCATCGCCCCGCGGGGATGGATGAACGACCCCTGCGCGCCAGGCTTCGACCCCCGGACCGGACTCTTCCACCTCTTCTACCAGTGGACACCGCACAGTCATCGCTGGGACCGCATCGCATGGGGGCACGCGACGAGCCGCGACTTGCTGCGCTGGACGCACGCAGAGGTGAGACCCTTGACCGTCCGGGCGAGCTCGCGGTACTGACTGCAGACGCCTGTGATTGCGCCGGACACAGCGTACGACAAGGAGGGCGTGTTCACGGGCTGCTTCTGGCCTGCGGGGCCGAAAGGCGAGGACGGCCTCACGGTTGTTTATACGAACGTGTGCGCCGTCCCGATTCACTACGACAAGCCTTATACGAGGGGATGTGAGGGGCTCGCTCTCGCCACCTCTGAGGATGGCGGCGTCACTTGTGCGATTGCACCACTGATAGGGGGCGCTGACAGCAGGGACGAAGCACTCCGCCAACCCCGTGCTCCCCGAGGAGCCGGTGGGGCTTGACGTCACGGGCTTCCGCGACCCTTTCCTCGCGCCGTGGCCAGCGATGGATCGCGCGCGGGGGACAACGGGGCGGCTGTACGGTCTCATCTCCGGCGGTATCCGGGACATCGGCCCTTGCGTGTTCCTTTACGATGTCGACCCCGCAGACATGACCGCGTGGACGTACCTCAGTCCCATCACCTTCCCCTCCTACAAGACAGGCCTCTGGGGCGGCGACCTCGGCGTCAACCTCGAATGTACCAATTTCCTCACGCTCGCGGCTGGAAGGATCGAGCGCGAAGTGCTGGTCACGGGCAGCGAGGGCGGCGTACCCCGCTTCGGGGAGGCACGTGTGCGACGCGCCCCTTGGGTAATGGGTACTCTTGCGTCTGAGGGGAACGAGGTGGGCATGCAGAGAAGCGCCGCGGGCGTGGTCGACTGGGGCGCGCTGTACGCGTTCAACACGTTCGAGCACAAGGGACGGCACATCCTCTGGGGCTGGCTAATGGACGAGGAGCTGCCGGACGCGATTCTTGCCAAGCGGGGGTGGACGGGATGTCTCGGCGTGCCGCGCGAGTTGTTCCTCGCGTCCTATGCTGGTGTTGCAAGCGCCCTCGCAAGCAAAATCGAGGACGTGGGGTGCTTTGAGCGTTTACCCTCCGGCGAGGTGGTAACGCTCGGCATGCGCCCGGTGACAGAGCTCGCCAACCTACGAGGAGAGCGCGTCGCCTCGGCGACGGGCGGCCCGAAATTGCAGCTCGACGCCCCGCTCACGATGGCCATCAACCTCGAGGTAGAGATCACGGACGAGACTGAGGCGGTGGAGCTGCGTGTGCGCTGCTCAAGAACTGTGCATACGAGCATCATCTTCTCTCCTCAAGCGGAGGTGATACGGGTTGTGCGCGAGCACTCAAATGCGCAACCCGACATCCGGAAGAGCACGGAGGAGGGTCGCTTCACCCTCCTCCGCATGCCGGAGATCGAGAAGCTCCAGATGATAATATTCCTGGACGCCGACGTGCTCGAGGTATTTGCAAACGACCGGTTCGCACTCTCGACACGCGTGTACTCGCCTAAGGAGGCTACGGGGGTGGAGTACGAGCACAAGGGGCTGGCGCGGGTTGAGCGCCTCGAGGTATGGGAGATGCAGGCGGCGGATGCGACATAGGTGACTATGATCATATTTATGAAAGTTTTCGTGTGTGGTGTTGATGCACTGCACTAGCCAACTTTGGCACATATACCCCTATGTCGCAGAACGCGCAGAAGCCTCCCATCGTCGCATCTGTGGTGCCACCCGTTTGAGCATACGGCCCAAATCTCCAATTGATTCAGGTGTTTGGTTCCGCTAATGCGTCTTGACTCTCCACTTCACCTGTCCTCGGTGGAGGCTGGCCACCGCACCATCACACACTTCTCTCCATCGCCATGCCGGCCAGAGTAAGGCAGCGCCCCCGCACGTCCGCTGACGGCAGCCCCGCCCGCGCCCCTCGGCCGCGACCGGGCCCCGCGAGGTCGCGGACATCATGCTCGGCTGGCTCGGCCAGGAGCTCGTCTCATGCACGCCCCTGCAGACGCTGTGGGCGGGGTACGGGCAGATCGTGTTTGTGACCGCGCGCTCCTCCTCGTCTCGGGACACGTCGCGGTATGTCCTCAAGCTCATCTCGCCGCCGCCAGGGAACGACGAAGGACACGTGCGCAAGTTGCTGAGCTACGAAGTCGAGCAGGCGTTCTACGCAACCGTCGCGCCGACGCTGGACGTGCCTGTCGCGCACTGCCTCGCCTCGACACACGGCATGGAAGGCCGCCCCGGCGCAGACCAGCTGCAAGGCGTCACAGCCATGCTCCTTTCGGACCTCCGGCCCGACTACCCCGTTGCGGGGGGGAAGCGGGGCGTGCTCTCCGAAACGGCGGTGCACGCCGCGCTCGACTGGCTCGCGCGCTTCCACGGCGCCTCTCGAGGCGCCGTCGGGCGCCACGAGCTTGGAGGCTACCTCCTCCCGCCGCTGGAGGAGGCGAGGCGGCGCGAACGCGGCCCGGGCGGGTCAAAGCTCTGGCTGAATGGCGGGTACACATACCTCGCTACGCGGCGGGGTGAGCTCGCCGACCTGGCGGACAGCGATTCGGAGTGGAACGCGGCATTCTGCGCCCGAGACGATGCGCTGGGCTGCAGCGTCGCCGATGCCGTCGCAGCCGTCCTTACGCCGAGCGGGAGAGCCGCAGAGAGCGTGATCCACGGCGACGTCAAGTCAGAGAACCTGTTCACGACGCGGAAGGGCGATGCAGTCGCCTTCTTCGACTTCCAGTATGTCGGGCTCGGCCTCGGCGTCTGCGACCTCGCCAAGCTTTTCACGTGCTCCGTGCCCGAAGACATGCTGGCCAACGACGTCCCGCACGCCCTCGGCATGCAGGCTGGCGAGCAGGTGCTGCTGGAACGGTACCGTGACGAAGTGTTGCGCGCGCAGCGTGCGGGCAAGGCAGGGCGCGAGGCAGAGTATGCGTGGAGCGAAATGGTGCGACACTGGGAGACGGCGCTCGTCGACTGGTGTCGCTTCCAGGCAAGTTGGGGATTTTGGGGGAACACTGAATGGCTCGAGGCCCGCGTGCGGCATATTCTTGCTGACGCGGGATGGCGTAAGTGGTTGATGGAGGAGCTGCGGGCTTGTAAGTAAATGAATAGACACGTACGTACATGTAATTAGAAGCGAGGTGACGTCTTGTGAGCGGACATGAGCTACATCTGGAGAGAAGTGAGCGGGATGTGGTATGAAGACGCACACGCGTCGTTCCAAGCTTGGCGGGAGCCGAGCTCACAGCAGTGCTGCTTAGCAATTAAACTGCTTGAGGGAAGCAGCGGAGAGCTAGAACAGTGCAAGCAGCGAGCGAAGCTAAGGAACAGAGCAGCTGTTTTTGATGGAGGGTGATATTAAAGAATGCGACGGGCGATGAGTTGCGACGACAGGCTAAAGAGTCCACAGTGCCAACATCGCTCCGCCTCACTTGGCATCCGACACCCAGCTTGAGCCAAGTTCTTAATGGCGATATAATAAGGAGAAGAAAGCGAAAGTTGCCGATTGTCGGAAGAAAGTCGCTGCCAAGCGAAGAAGCTGCGAGGAATTTCGATGATATTGCAACAATTAGTCGTGAATCAACACGACTCGTGACAGGGACTGGATTCGTTCCATTCCTTCACTACAAACAACTTCTTACTGTAAAGCGCCCACGGGCTGGACATCGCGGAACGCTGACTGCATGCGACGCTTAGCAGCAGCCGCAGCCCGAGCTGGTGTCAGTTTTGTTGGCCGCCTGTCCAAGTGCTCACCAAGAGCCACTGCAGTTGCAAGTGGAGCAGGAGCCACCGCAGTTGTTGACGAGGGTAATCTGGTGTGAGCGGATATGGACACAAGGAGATCGGGAAGCAAGGAGTAGATGATCGGTATAGTTCGTAAAAACAACTGAACCAGTTGAGGAGCGAGAAAAAGTAGGAGAGGAAGTGAAGAAGGGTGAAAGAAATGCAGGACAATGGAAAGGACAACTCACGTCGGCGACCATGTTGTTTATGTTTAAAGGATGAGGGTGTTTGTTGAGAGTGGTGGTGATTGTAGTGGTGATGAAGTTGCTGTGATGAGGATGAGAGCGTCAACTCGGGCCCTTATATCTGTTTCTGACCAGCCCATAGCCACCACCACTGGCTTTACAGAAGGCCAGGTGAGCTTCCTCGGGCTGAGCACTGAAGTTAGCGAGACCGAGGCCGGGAGAAGGGTGGCACGAGACCTGCGCCATACGGAAGAAGGGCAGAGCCCAAGAAAACAACACGAACCCTTCTGTGCGCCGTGCCTCGACGTGCTTGGGCCGAGCCCAAGCCCGAGAGCTGCATCGGGGTTGCGTACAGGGGTCTGGTTCGGTTCGCGAATTCGCGGCGGCGACGCGCACAAGCGCCGCGCGGCGGGCGGGGGGCGGTGGCGGCCGTGCGGGGCCGGAGCGGATATACCCCCGCCGCCACATTCGGGCTGCTACACCCGGGCTGCGACTTCGGCATGCAGCCGCTCGAGGGCTTCGTGCGTGTCGATGTGCTCAAGCGGGGGACGCTGGCGCATCCGGCGGCGGCGACGATGGGCGCGCCAGAAGACCCACTCGAGATGCGCGCGCAGGATCCAGTGCGCGACCCAGCCGAGGTGGTGTCGCAGGCACCAGGTGATGCAGCTGGCATGAGCGCAGGGACTGGGATTGCCGGACTGCCCAGGCGATTGACTTCGGGCTCGGTGTGCTCTGCTTCTCCTGGCCGGCCTGGTCATTGACTGATTCGTCGGCTGCAAGCTGGCCGATTGGGCTTCGCATCGACCAGGCCATGTTCCTCTGCTTTGCTTCTCTCTCTCCACCTTCTCTCCGCCTCAGACAACACCTCCCCTCCCTGCTCACCCCTCCCATGCCTTCTGTGCCTTGCTCCGTTGGCCGTGCTCTCGCACTGCGAGTACTTTGCAGTATGGTGGACTTGACGGTTACTCACGGGCCGCCACAGCTGAACTCGGGGGGTTCCGGGGACATTGCACGATCGGGGCGCGACGGCGCGGGCTGGTCGGTCAGCGATGTCTTCCTCGGATCCTCGGCTCGGCTCGGCTAAGCTCACCGATGCCGTGACAGTCGGCGCTGGAGGATTGGGAACAGCGCGGGACATTGTGATCGGCTCGGTGATGCCTGGTGATGATGAGAAAGCATCTGTTGACGCAAGGAAGTTCAGTGATGATGAGGGGAGAAGATGAATGAGGTGCGCGCGCGATTGCGCGGCGATCCGCAGGGGCAAGCTGTGCGTGTGAAGCTCAGCGTTGCGCCCTCCCCGCCTCCGCAGCCATCGCATTCCTTTGGAGGAAGGTCGTTGTGTGTTGCCGCGCGAGCGCGCGCGCGGGCGATGACGGCGAGGTGACGTGGAGCGATGGTGATTGCAACGAGCTAAACACGGCACGCGACACAGAGGCGTCAGTTCTGTTGTCCCGCTGAAACTGTGCTCCTGTGCACGCCACTGCTCACTCATGCTTATTCTGCGTACACAAGCTCAATGCATGACGATTACAAACACTAGTGGTACATCATGGATGCTGAGAACTGTTCGCTACCAGCTATTCCGACGTGGCTGGCGCTTCATGCGGTCGGCAATGGTGGGTCCGAATGCGTCGTAATCGAGACTCGTCCGACGCGTCTGGCATGTAATTTCGCTTCCTGCGTAGTCGTTGTGAGGCGGAAGCTCGAGAGCCCCGGGGTCCGGGTCGGGATCATTGGACGCGTCCGAGCGCCGGCGGAGAAGGCTGGTTACGCTCGGCATGGCGGGGAGGCGGAAGCGTACGGGGAGGGCGGCGAGGCGCCACCGCGGGGCGGGGATGACCGGTGCATCATCGATCCGCGGCGTATCTTCCGGTTCGGTGTCAGGTGGAACAACGTTCAGAACGATGTTTTCGGCGGCCATGCGACGCCATCGGGCGACCTGAGCGAGCCGGGCAGCTTGGAGGCGAACACGGGCGCGAAACTGGAGGCGCCAGCGGCCGAGGCGGGTAGGCGGGACGAGGCTGTGGCTGCTCGGCGGAGGGGGGGAGGTGGGGCGGCGGCGCGGCCGCTGGCGACGAGGAAAGCAGGAGGGAACGCTGGTGTCAGTGGGAGAAGCCTGGTGCGGAATGCGTACCACTCTGAAGGGCTCAACGGGGCGGGTATGGAGGGGGCGGGGTCGACGGTTTGCTGGCCGCAGCACTGGAGTCAGATTGAGAGGAAGGCGGGGCGCACGGAGCAGAGGAGCATGGTTCCGGGGTATCGCTCGCTCGAGGATGTGGATGGGGGAGGCGCCGGGAGCGAGGGAGGGCGGGCGGGGGCGAGGGAGGGCTTGGACGGGGTGGATGAGGGGCTGCGAGGCGCCATGGAAGCTATGCGTGTATGGAGAGGTGGGGGCGAGAGGTAGCAGCGGTGAAGGCAAGACGGAGGATGATGAGCGACATTGCAACAAGAGCAAGCTAGTTGCTTTGCAGACACTGCCCGTTGGCTGCTGGTTGTTCCTTTGCTGCGTGGCGGCTGGCTGGCTGGCTGGCTATTGTGTACTGGACACTGGAGCTGCCGAGTTGCGCGAGCTGAAAGGCGTCAAGATGGTCGTCACGCTTGTTAGGTGGCGTCGTCTTGCTTCTCCGGCTGTTCTGTCGCCTACGATCTCCAGACGACCCGTGATCTCCCGTATCTTTCTCCCTTCCGCCTTATGGAGACGAGAGACAAGGAGGGATCGATGAGCGGCGAGAAGCGACCGCGTCGCGACGTGCCGACGCGATCTGAGTGGAGTTGAGTGGCGGTAGGCGGTTGGAGGATGGGATGGTGAGCGAGTCGGCCCGTCGGTGGGATCCGGTCCGCGACGGCTATGCTCACCGACAACGAGTCCGTGCGCGGAGCGAGCCTTACCCGTTCACCATTGCTCCACTTGTCCTCCACCACGCGCCCACCATTCACAGCTAGGGCATTACATTGCGCCCATGCCTCTTCAAGACGCCTCGGACACCGTGCTCGCCCTGCCTGGACGGGAGAATGCTGCTAAGCTGCCTGATATCCCGTGGAAGGAACGGAAGGAGCCGCGGCAAGCGGGCAGTGGCCTGTGGCCGCCTGCACCTTTGAACAATGACCGTCTGCATAACTGCATGGGGGATCGGTGCTCACATACGTCCGATCATCTGGCTCCTCACCTCCGTCGACGACTCGAACAACGGCTCAGTAGTCTCGTACACTGCGCTTCGCGGCTGCCCAATCTGCACTCCGCCACACTCGGCTCATTTTCGCGCCTTGGGCCGCAGCCGGCCGCCAAGCTTTCCGTCCTCGAGCTCCCAGCCCGTCGCGTCGAGGTACCGCTCGATGCTGCGGTGCGCATACACCTTGGCGTCACGCCGGATCATGCGGTTCGGCCACGTGCTGCTCGCGGCCCCATACTCCAGGTCATCGATGGCCGCGACAACGCCTACCGCGTCCGCTGGGCGGAGGGGGATCTGTCTCAGCTCTGCATCGGTCACTCTCACCATGTTCGGGTAGCTCCACATGAACGTGAACCCGCGCCGGTCCATCCGCACCATCATGGTGTCAGCGACCAGGATGAGGCCGGTTTTGGGTCCGCCGCCGGGCTCAGCCCCGCGGTCCCAGTGCAAGATGCTCGAGCCGGGGAAGTGGCTGCGTCAATCCTACGTCACGCGCTCAACTTACCCGCCACACTGCACGAGCGTGACCCCCGGCCCGAGGGTTTCGCGGCCGGTCCAGAACCGCACCTCGTCCGTATGCTGAATATCGCCGCGGCGGACGAACCACTCCTTGTCCGTCTCGCAGATGTACAGCGGTACGTTTAGGGCGCGAGCCCACACGAGCGATGTGGAGTAGAACTGCGTGAGTGTGCGCCGAGAAGAGGCTCACGTGGGGGTGCGAGATGGCGATGGCCTTAAGGGCAGGCTGCAAGCTTGAGAGGTAGCCTGCGAGGGCGGGGGTGAAGGGGGCCTGGCAATCCCAGATGTAGTGCCCACCATGCGTGTTGATGAGGATAGCTGTGGTGAGCTGGTGAGCCGGCGAGTCACCAAGAGGACGACGAAGGGCGGTAGAGAAAGCGGACTACCCACGGGTCTGGTTGATAGCAAACGGCGGCTCGCACTCGATGAACGCGATGCGCTCGTCCTCTGTATCGACCTTAAGACTGTGCTTGCGGCTTTGCGCGAGCTCGGCGAGCGACGTCCACTCCTGCCCGGTAACGGGATACCACTGGCGCTCGTCTTCGCAGCATGGGCCTGGTGTCAACACAGCCGTGGAATGACGTCACATATGCCGTCGGGCGTCGAGCTGAACTGGGTCCCACACGTCGCGCAGACGGGGAGGTGCGCGTCGGCGGCGATGGCATCGACCGCGCGCTGCGGTACAGGCGCGGAGGGTAGGGGGACGGCGCGTACGAGCGGACTCATGGTGATGGCGGAATGGGTGGTGAGAAGACGGTGTGGGGGATTTAATGTGACGTGGTGGCGGCTCTCGGCCCCGCACGACATGACAGCATTACGGAGCTTCGGCGATCTCGATGAGCCGAACAGAACCACATGGTCTCACACATGCCCACAGCCCTGCGCTCGCTGCTTGTCCTTGTTAAGCGCGGCATGTGTCAGCCTCGGCGACCCGGCGTCGTGTAAGCTTGATTCGCTTCCGAGTCGAACACCTCGGACGCTTGCATTTGCATGCCCGCGCATTCGCAAGGAACCAATGACATACACACGCTGCGCATCTTCTCGTGTATGCGACCGATGCGAGAGACTTATAAACTACTGACCAGTTTGGAACGAAGTGTCGAGTTGAAAGAAAAGAGAGTGAGGCACAGCAGCCTAGTGGTTGCCGTAGCCGGGGTGGACGTAGCCACCAGGCGCACCACCCGGCGCGCCGCCGTACTGCTGGCCGCCATAGTTCTGCTGGCCGTAGCCCTGCTGAGGAGGCTGACCATAACCCTGCTGGCCGTACTGCTGAGGAGGCTGGCCGTAGCCGCCACCGCCGCTGAATTGTTGCTGAGGCTGGCCGTAGCCGCCACCGCCATACTGCTGCTGTCCGTACTGCTGCTGCTGGCCATACCCTTGAGGAGGAGAGCCGTAAGACTGAGGCGCGCCGTAGGCGCCGCCTCCGCCGCCGAACTGCTGCTGCGGCGCGCCGTACGCCGGGGGCGGGCCATTCTGCCACGACTGGGCCCAGCTCTGATCCACCGCGGCACGGTACACGTGTCGGCCCTCGTCCTTGGAGTCGTACTCGGAGTCAATGCCGCCAAGGAGAATCTTGAGCGTCCAGAACGCCTGCGTGAACGGCTCGGCGCTGGTGCCCCCCGTCGCGGCGTTGTACTCTGCCGCCTCGTGCACATAGCCAGCGGTCTGGTCGATGAGATCGCCGATCTGCGGGTGCTTGTCGAGGCCCTGCAGCCATGCAAGAGCAGTGACATCGTCGCCGACCTGCGCGAACTGCAGCGAGAGCGCGTCGGCGCCGTACCGCGTGCGGCTGAGGGCATTGCGCGCCTCCATGATGCTCGAGCCGACCAGGTCCTTCTCGCGCTGGTTGTTGGGCTCACCGTCCGTGATCACGATCACGTACACGGGCTTCTTGAGAGACCCGGACTGGGCGGGCTTGACCACGAGCGGGCGGAGCACCTTGTCTTGCAGCGACGAGCCGAGCGGCGTCATGTCTAATGTCAGCTTGTCGCGAAGAGTACCGGCCTACACTTGAACGTGAGGTGGTCGACGATCTTGCGCGCCTGCTGGGCGTCCCGGACGTTGCTGGGCGCATCCTTGGCGTTGAGGAAGCGCATGGCGAAACCGTCGGTGTCAAGGAGGGAGGAAGCGAAGGCAACACGATCGAGCAGCCTGCCGTCAGCAAACGATGTGGCGGGGCCGAGCAGTGCTTGACCGCGCACAGCGCAGGGCCGTAACCGCAGCAGTGCGTGTACGTGAAGTGCCATGTCGATACTCACCGCTTGAGCTCGTCGATACGGGTCCCTTGGCTGCGGTCGTTCCCCACCGCGCGATCATTCATGCTTCCCGAGTCGTCAATGAGGAGCACGACGTCGAACAGCGCGATCTGGACAAGGTCGAGCGCGCGCGCCGTACGTAGCTGGAACTCGTTTTCGATGCGGTCAACCGCGCGGGTCTGGATAATCCGGTCCGCGATAGCCTCGAGCGCCCGCGGGTCCGGATAGAACGCCTGAATGTTCTGATCCTGCACGCACTGCCGTAGAATATCTATAATCATTTGTCGCTCAGGACTCGGCCCGCTGAGCTGCTGCGCGCCGTATGCGGCCGCGCCACCTGCTAGCGCGCCGCCAGCCAGCGCCATGGTGTGCCCGTGCCCGCCGCCGCCCGACTGCTGCTGTTGCTGTTGCTGCTGCTGCTTCTTGTAGGCCTTGTAGGCCATGTAGGCCACGAGGCCAATGGCCAGCTTGCCGACGACCATGGCGTGAGCTGGGTGAGGTGAATTGAGGGGAAGAAGGAGTGGGAGTGGCTGAGCGAACTATTGTTATGAATGGCGGTGTGAAAGACCGAGCTCGGACCCAGTTTGGAGGCGCGTGACGTCGTGCGTCAGTCATGCATCCGGCCGTCGGCCCGAACCGGTGCCGAGTAATCGGTCATTAACACAGCCACCTTATCTTGCTGGCTGTGCAAACAAGGTTTCATCATGCGATCCCGTACAACGACACGCATCACGCTTCCCACTCCAACAGGCATACGTATACGCATGTTCTTGGCATGCATGTTGGCTCCAATCCCGCCTCAAATACAGAGCTAGGCCATGCGGAACTCGATGTTCATGCCTTGAGACCGTTGCAAACGTCTGTTACCGATGTCAAATTGCTCACTGAGCATCTCATCGAGCATGGCTATGCGGCGGAAGAGGTACTCCCGCTTCAGTGTGCTCATGGGCGGAGTACTAGTGTCCAGCAAGCCCCCACCCCCACCCTGTCCGAGGGAGAGCAAGGCCAGCAGGCGCTGGGCTTCGCGCACATGCGTGCGTGCCCTCATGAGGCGGCGCCAGCCTCGGCACCGCAGCTTGAAGTAGGGCACCGAAGGGTCCATCTCGAAGCTGTCATAATGGATGCCGAGACGCCAGGCGGCACTGAAGTGTTCGTCGGCCGCGTGCATGTGGTGCGTGGCGCGGCGGGCCTTGTATTGGATCAGGTCGGGGACGTTTGTGGGCGGGATCTTGGCCTGTTCGCGGCGAGTCATGACTGGCTCGTTCATGGTGGGGGGCAGAGAGGAGTTGGGTAGAAGAGACCCTGAGCAAGGCGGTAGGCGGTGAGCTGGGATGAAGGCATAATGGTTATATGTGTAGACGCATGAGCGGGGTGGTGGCGGTGGACGCGGACAGACTCTGTGGAATTGGTGGGATGATTGGGACGTGAAGGCGGGAGGTGAGTGGACCCCGATGTGAGCGGGGCAAAGTGAGTGGATGTGGAAGTGGTTCTTTGCACCCCGCCACCATCATTCACATCACATATTATACCGTATTCTGCGAAAATTTTCGAATGGTGACAGCTTGGCTCATGACGCGCAGATCATGTATGAATCAATGCGCGCATGTAGCGGGCAACGACACAGACGCGAAGAGTGCGCAGAGTTGCGTTTGCCGTGACTTGAGAACGGACGTGTCTTTGTCGCGACGCATGCCGCCGCGCAATCCCGTTTGTATGCGTGATGAGTTTTCCCATTGCCCCGCCTCTGCGTTCGGCGAGAGTCCACTGCTTGTTGAGACGGGATCTCTATTCCACACCCATGCAGAAACCAGCCGCATGCACCCCTCATTCGCTCTGATGAACCGGGACACACTCTTGCGCACTTTTGAAGGATGCTCTCTTGCACGGCTCAAAATCGCTGCCACCGCTGCGATTGGGTGATTGAACAATGTACCACCTACCGATCAACCACGAGGGCTGCGCGCGGATTTTCTCGCCAAAGGCCCAAATATTTCGCAAAGTTCATTATGGCCGAAATGCAACTGAATTCCGGGAAGCGGCGCACAGTCTTTTGATCCCCGGGAAGAGGCCAAGCTTGTGCGGGACTGGGTATTGCAAACCCACAAGACAGCCGATGCTTTTTCCGGAGGCCACTCGTTGATATCGTTGTCCGAAAAGATGAGGGTAGAGAGAGAAGAAGCCGTGTAACACGAGGCTGGGCATTGGCAGTGCACTCGTCAGTCAAATCACCAACAAAAGCCGCGCTTGTTGAAATGTCGCCGGTGTGATACCCCAACTACCGGTGCGGCGAATGTGCGTCTGCAAGTGGCTCGTGGCGACGGGATTGAAAGACGTTTCACCGCTTATACCACAACAAAGGTACATACACAAGGGGCCTTGGGCGTCCATACAGTCGCGAATGACCGTCATGCGCAACAATCACTGCTATGCGACTGGTACTTTGAGTTTCACTGTCACATGAACCTGCGTGCACTAGACTACTGGTGGTCAATGTACACGCGGTGTTGGTGTTGAAGAGCCTCACCAACAGCTCTCCATTAGGCGCCGACTGCCACTTAGCCATATCTAGAAATTCTCACCTAGCTGTAGCGTTTAGAGCTGGTCCGGATGATGTAGAGGAACACTTTTCCAGGGGACCATCCAGTGATTTCAGAGTTGGAGGGATTGTTCGTGCGCAGGATCGCGCAGAGGATGTTGACAGGAATCATCTTGAGCAGATCGGTTGAGAAACCACGGACGTCGAACTGTGAAACGCTCGTGTCGAGATCCGCGATGTTTGCAAACTCCCAGGTATCCGCGTCCTTTACCGCATTGTCGAGTAGCCAGGCGATGTGTTCGAGGCTTTCGGCAATGCAGGCAGCAATGAGCGCAGTTGAAAATGAATGGGTGGGATTCGCGGGCAGAGCGACGCGGCACAAGTTGTCAAGGGCGATGGTGATGCAGGAGTAACATTGGTACTTGACCATAAACTTGACCAAATTGCAGGCGTTGGTTCGATTGAGGGGCCCGGAGGTAGCAAACTCGACAAGGATTTCATCGTAGAGAATCTTGAAGAACAGCTCCAAGATGGCTGCCGTGCCGAACAACGTGTCCGGGTGCCAAGTGTAGGCAGGGCGGATCCCAGTAATTTCAAACATCTTGCTGGCCCGCTCAGAATAGAGGGCTGTGGTTCGTTCACTCACCTGGCACTCCAAAGCTTGTAAACACTGACACGGAAGCGCACCCCGTCAGATGACACGACCTCACACTCGCCGACGTTGAACCGGTGGTGGTCAATGATGGTTTGGGTCTTCTGGTCAGAGCGGGAGGCAAGGTCGTAGTGAGGGACGCCGGAGAGGCCAATGGGAAGGCCGCTGGGAGTGCCATGGGAATCGCCCCTAGCTAGATTGGGAACACGTCCGGGAGCGGAGGAGGGGGAAGGTAATTCAGAGTATGCGCCTGACTCATAACGGATGCCGTTGACGTCTGGCATGGCTGATGTCGGTAGGCAGTCGCGACTTGACGTATTGATGATTGCGGTCGGGGTCGAGGTCAAGGCTGACGAGGGGATCAAGAGAGAGGAAGAGGAGTCAGGTGTGATGAGACGTTACAGGAAGAGAGAATGGTGAAGAGAGAAAACGCAAGTCGCAATGGGTATGAGAGGATACTTGTCCACATGCGTGAGGTCGCTGAGGAAAGCTGACTCAGCTGCACGATGGAGGAAGGTAATCTTGAGGGAGGACGGATGAGGGGCCATGGGTGAGGCGTTGAAGTCAACGCTCACGCGGGTCGATCGACCAACTAGACGCCAGCTCTCCCGACGCGCCCGACTTCCCGACGAGATGACCGTCCTCGTCGCCTCGCCATGGAACGGATTCGGCTGCTCACCACATTGTTTGCATCAACAACGGCATGCATCCGCACTGGGACAGCGAAATTAAAGGTGGTGTGTGGCTGTTGCTGTTAGGGTCTAGTCTGTGGCGCGTCGAACTGGGTCATTGGTCAGCCCGTTCTTGTACCGCCACAAACCCTTTCACACCGCAGCCGGCTTGAGCAGCTCGCGAAACACCTCCCCCCGTCCCCTCACGCTTTGCGGATACTTGTCGCCGTACGTCATCGCCTTGCTGATAGCCCACTGCCAGCGGGGCGCGATCATCGCCCACCACTCGTACGGATACCCGCGCACATCGATGTCGAGGGTGAGGTCATCCGCGGCGCGGCTGAGCCCCTCGCGCTTCCATCCGCCGTGGTTGTGGTTGTTGAGCATGGCCGCAACGATGTCAACGTCCTGGGCCACACAGGCGGCCATGAACACGACCCAGGACTTGACGGCGCCCGTCGTGTAGCCGTGGTGGATGCAGGCGAGGGCGAGGCGGAGGAGGGCGGCGCATTCCCATTTCTCGAGGAGGCGGATGAGGCCGGTCGCGGTCGCTACGTTAAGCTTGAGGAGGCGAGGGGTGGGGAGGCCCGCGTCGAGGAGGAGCTCGGAGAAGGGGGTGAGGATGGCGGCGGTTTCGAACGCGCTTGAGAGGCGGAGCTGGCGCTGGCCGGTGCGCGTGAAAGAGGAGGCGGAGAGGAAGGTGGGGCTGCGGTGAGTATGGTACTTGGACGGGTTAGGAGTGCGCGGGCGCTTGGTTGACCTGGTGAATGGCCGTCGGGCGTCCGAGTGACACCCCCCGTATCCAGAGTGCCATCAGCAACTTAGTGCCGTTGCATAGCAGAACACAAAGCCTATGCCATCGCGCCACCCACACTCACCTCGCCGACGCTAGTTGGTGCGTCGGGATGCGGAACGGGACCTTGTCACTTGAAAGCAGTAGGATTGTCTCCTCATGGCTCAGAAGCGGCCCGACAACCTTGGACAGAGATGGGGGAGGGTGGGAGAGTGTGAAGACTGGCGGATGGTCCATGACAGCGCGAGTGAAAAAGCGCGGTACGAGTCACGACGGGAGTTGACTGAAGGCCAAGTAGAGTACAGCAGAGTGCAGTGTGTTTGTTTGTTTGGCACAGTAGGTGGTTTGTGCGCCCCTGCGGGTGCGTGTGTCTGTGTGTCTCCAAGTCCGTGCGAAACGCTCCTTCGCACCACCTGTACATGTAACTATTTTATACATCGCTACTCGCCCTAATGACACCTAGTCACCTTTCTGCTTCTTCTCGCCACCCACGCGCTCGTCTTCGGCCTTGCGCCGCCGCCCCTCCCCTTCCACTGCTGCGCGCGCGTCGGTGAGTGCAGCGCGGAATACCTCAAGCAACACGTCCTCCATTTTGCCCGTCGGCCCTTCGCTCCACTCGTGCCACGCACGATGCAACGCGAATTGGTATTGCTGCGGCGTGGCCCGGTAACGCCGATAATCCCAGTTACTGGGGTCCATCACGGACCCGTTCTCCGGCGCGTCGGAGCGGTGGATCGCCTCCCCCTCTGTCGCCGTAAGGGGAGTAACGCGGGCGAAACGTAGCAAAATGCGCTCAAAGAGCTTGTCATCCTGGATGGTCGAGGCGATGGCAAAGGCGGTGCGCAGGGACATCGCCTCAAATTTCGAGTGCAGTACCATGATGGCTAGCTTGGCCTTGTTGATGTTCCACGCACGCATGAAGGCGAAGAGGTCACGAAGCATCGAGGTGGCCGCGTCCTCGTCCTCCTCTATCCTCATGTCTGAGTTTAGCAGGAGGGATAGGAATGCTCGGAGCATGGTCGAGTTCTCGAATGGGCGTCGCAGGTGCACTGCCTGCGAGAGGTTGTGCTTGGAAACGCCGCTCGTGTACAGCTCGCGCGAGGCGTGGGCGACGTGAGACGAGTCGAGGCGAAAGATGACCTGGTCGCTTGTCATCAGAAAGAAGTTGCCGGAGGTGTATTCCTCGTCCAAAGATGCGTTCACAGAGCCCCGTGCTAGCGCATCAGCTGGACCGGAGCTGCCCGTGGCATTTGTGGGGCTGGGGTCGCAAACGGTGGCAGTGGCAGGCCTGTTTGGAAAGGAGCTGCTGGTAGCAACTGGAGTTGAGGCGAGCTGGTAGTGCTGCGCAGCAGGACCACTCTGGCCACTGTAGCCGTGTGGGGCGCGCTGGAGGAGCGCTGGTGGGTTTTGATGCAGAGCCCGCGGCTGCTGTTGCAGGGCCTGCTTGTTATGTTGTCGCACCTGCTGGTTCTGATCTTGGGACAGCCGACGCTGGATTTGGGCGTGGAAGTCACCGTGGTGTGCTAGCTGAGCGCTGGCTTGATTTAGGTCGGCCAGCGATTCGCGCGGATGGGTGACAGAGCACGAGTTCATACGAGCGTCGTGCTCGAAAAGCGGATTGGACTGGTTCTGCTGGTCGCGTCGCGCGGTTGGGCCGGACGCCCACCCCTGCCGAGCCGGGACCGTTGCGTTCTCCGGCCGATTTAAGCTCGGGGGCGGATTGACTCCACTAGAGGGCTGGGCGGGCGGGCTCGGGCTGCATGGCGCTTCGTCTGTCCGATGGGCCTCGCGCTCAGCGTCGGGCTCGGCGACATCGGGCGTTTTGTGGAGTTCGAAGGCGCTCTGGTCGTCCTCCCGCTCACACTGTACACCCCTCGCGAGAGACATTGGCGACAGCGACTCATCAGCCTCCTCGGCTGCCTCGCGCGACCCTGGCTCGAGCGTGGACGGTTGCAGCGTCATGCTCGCCACGCGGGCTGTAAACTTCCGGCGCTCGCGCGGACTCAGTGGGCCTTGGGGAAGATCTGAAAGGGGTGTATCGGGCATGAGTGGCTCCTCTTCTACGTCGTCCTCGACACACGCCTTCCCTTTACCTTTGCCTTTAATCGGGGCCTTGGCCTTCGGGGCCTTGGCCTTCGGGGCCTTTGCGGCCTTTTGAGTCTTCGGGGCGGGCTTTGGCTTAGGCACGGCGCTCTGCTGCTTCCTCGGCCGCCCGGGCTTGCGTTTCGGCACCTCTTCTATTGCGGAGGACTCCGGGAGCGCAGAAGTGCGCGGCGTAGAAGACCCCGGATCGTAAAATACCGGAGTATGCGGTGTACGTGATGCAACCATATGTTGAAGGTACTCCGGGAGGGCATGCATTGGCGTGGCCACGATCGCAGACTGCTGGGCGACAGCGGATATCCTTGGTGGGCTGACGACGACTGTGAGCTTCTTAAGGCGGCCACGTTTGCGTCCTTGGTTAGAGGGCTGGGCATCTAGTTCGTCGACCTCGGATTCAACTGCAAATATCGTAGAGGGAACAGGTGACTTCATGACGACCAACCCGGAAGTTGGGGGATCTTCCCGCTGCTGCGAGGAGAGCGAGTCGTCTGAAGCTGGACTCGAGGTGCTTCCGGAAGTGCTCCCGACCTTCCACCACCCTCTCCCTCCGGGAACAGGAAGACTGCTGCCCTGCTCGGCCACCCACTGGGGCCTGAGGTTGGTCGTGGTGGCTGGTGGTTGGACGCTGATACCGGACAAGGGTACCTCCACGGAACTAGACGACGTATATGTGTGCTCGTTGTCGCTGATCACAATTGGGTCGGCTGTGTTGCCAGGAGCTTGGACAGATGAAAGTGAGCCGCCGTGGAGTGGAGTGGGGATTAGACTCCAACGTGCACAGGTGGAGGCGTTGGAGGGCGGGCTGATGCCTTCCGCCATCATGTCGGTCTGTGCCGTATGGGGAGCGGTGGTAGTGCAGAGGACGTGAGTACCCTCACATCCGGAGGCGACGGCGATGTTAGAGGTAGAAGGGCTGGGAGGATGAAGAGAAGGAGCGGGAAGAGTAGGGGTGGAGGGAGCAGGGGTGGGAGTTGATGGGGGGGGAGGAGATGGAGTGTGAGAAGGTGAGACGTGAGGAGACGGCGTGGGGACGTCTGTTAGATGTGGGCTGTATGGCGGACTGGAGACGGTTTCCGGGATCGGTAGCACGGGGGCGAAAGACGCAGGCGAGTCGCTCGTCATGGAGGGGACGAAGGCGTCGTGCTCACTCTTCGGGATGGCGTGGTCACCCGTCTCCCCCAGGCGGCGACCTGTAGGAATGGCGGGAGACACGATCAGCTGGGCCAACATACGGTGAGAGGAAGATGGTGACTCGTTGGTTGTGTCGCCGTAGTCGAGCTCTTCTGGCCAGCGCCTGCCGGAGTGGTGGGCCGCCTCGTCTGGATGTATAAACCTAGATTGGCAAGGCGGACTGACGCGGTCATCAAACATGGAGGAGGACAAAGCAATCGTGATGTGGGAGTGGAGCGCTACGTGCGTTGCAGCGCTCCTTTATGTCCCACGAATAGTGCGAGTTGTGATGGCGTTGGGGATCGTGTTTAATGCACAGCTGATGGGACCTTGCTTCTGTGGCGCTCTCCCCGCCGTTCGCACACTTGACTCGCATCGTCAAGACCCCGAACGTAATGACGCCCGGAGGCAACGGACGAGTCGGTAATGGTGTGTTACACTGTTGATGGCACGATGTGAACTCGCACTCACATGCACATATGCACAATTGATCTGGGCTTGGTTTATGGATGGATATGTCCACCTCTGTCATGACTCGATTGACATGAACAACTCCCATGCTCCTCACCAACTACCAGCGATGGCGACGTGGATTGCGGAGGCGATCTTGTCAACTACTTGAGGCGCGTGCCGGCTGACGTTTATAGAGTCTGAAGCTCAGCACTGTCGTTCGTCGGTCTCTCCGCACTGTCAGGAGTGAGTGTTGTCATTCTCAGTTTGGCGTGTTCTGCGGGTGAGGAGCCTGGCTGCGCACCGTGGTCATCCGCCACGCAGTCCGCAGCCGCGGCCGCCATTGTAAGCCGTTCTGAGGTGAGGAGGAGCGGAAAGGCTAGAGACGGGACACATGTCCCCGAGTCGGCAATGTATAATGATAGAATGAGAAGAGGGTCGCGTCGCGTCGCGCGCAGGCGAGACAATCGCGTCCCGCGCCTTCCCGTACCCCGTGCGGCCCTTCACTTTGAGGCACACAACATGGCCAGGCACAGACGCGTGGTATTCCCCGTCTCCTCATACTCACACCTCATACACCGCCGCCACGCCCGCCAGTCGCCAGCTGCCAACCGCCGCTCCTCGACATCTCTGACGGTACTCTGCATTGGCGTTCTTATGTCTCACTCGTCATGCGCCCCCGAGAGGTTTCCGCACCCGCCCCGCGAGGTGATGATGGACTCACCATGGTTCCAGAGCAGTGTTTCTGGTGCCTGGTTAACGGGAAAGGAGTTGCTATATTACGGTCCATGAAAGAACCGAAGGCCGATGAAATTTGTTAATGAACTGCAGGCGTCGTGCATGCGTTTAAAGATGAACTGCGGTGCATGAGAGAAGTGGATGGTACTGGATGGTTGGTGAATGCAACGAGTTGGGCCAGGCAGCAGATGAAGAGCAGCGCCGAGAACAGTTGGGCCCAACAAGTCGGGCTTCTGAATTGATTCCGCTGTTCTCCTGGTTCTGGCAGTGCCTGACTGTGCCTGAAGAAGGGCCGCTGCTCTTTCCCTTCAGCTCCAGACCCGAGGAGCCGAAGAGCGCCCTGACTTTTTGGGTGGGCGGTGCTCGAGCTGTGTGTGTCTTGTGGCATTTTTCCCCTGGGCTGCCCCCTGATGCCCCTCCTGCCCTCATGCGCCCTTCCGGGTATGACCCCCTGAGGCCCTCTACAACCCCTGAGAACGTCTGTCGGCTTCTGCTGGTCCGCCTTGACAGCCAGAGCAGACTCGCCATGCAGCCAAACACACCACCCGTCTCATACAGACAGAGCCCATCAGCCCATCCTTCCTCAGTATCCTCGTCTCGTCAATCTCGTCCATATCACTCGACATCTCTTTCTCTCTCCACTTCTTGGCTCTTATTGCCCTCTTCACAGTCCTCTCACCAAGCTGCCAAGCTGCCAAGCTGCCATCAGTCTGGACATCTCCTCCAGCTTAGACCTCCCACGAGGCCTTGCCATCACTCCTCCCCGCTCCTCGCCCTTGCGTCCACCTGTCACGCGACGTGAACCGACATCCACAAACCCACCCTCATCCAACCTTTGCGCACAAGCGACGCTTGACGCCTCGACGCCGACGTAGCGCCAACTACCCTCGACCCGGCGCGCGCGCGGACCTCTTCGTTTACTCTTCTACATACTTCAGTGACAAGGTCTCTGCAACGCTCAGACCTCGTTCGTCCCCTTGTTGTTCCACGGATCCCGTCTGGACGCCGCCGCCGCCATCCCGCCCACAGACTGCAGACGGCATAGTAATTCAAACAGCACTTACCCCAAACTCGTCCTCGTCTAACACCTCGACTACAACAACATCATGGCAGGTATGTGCCACCCCCCACCACCACCACCTCAAGCGGGAGAGGCCGGAGAGGAGGAGGAGGAGGAGGAGGAGGAGGATGAGGAAGGCGGGCACGGGAGCAACGCCTCACGCCTTGCGTCCCGTGCTCCCATCTCCTCCTCCTCCTCCTCCTCCTCCTCCTCGTCAACCTCGACCTCGACCTGCCCCTCGTCAACACGCAACTCTCGTTTCTTACAATGTTCCCCAAGTGCTGACATTGTTTTTCTTACCATTGATCTTGCTCGACGCGTCTTCTTCGCCTCCTTCTACCCCTCCCTGCCCCACCTCCGCCTCGCTCCTACCCCCACCTTCTATCACCTCGCCCCCACTCAACCTCCCCTGCCCTCGCTTTACTATGGACGAAACGCCCACTCCCGATAACGCCGGATCGCATAAAGCCATCTACACGGTGTAGGTCTTAACAAACGACCGCGCCCCGACCATGTCACTGACTCGCTTAGCTTTACTTCGCCGCATCATGCGCCCATGCCCAACCATCTCCCGACGCTCATCGTCACCCCTCATGGTGTGTTTGGCGACACATTGACCAGTAGGAGACTTCCACTAACAGCCCAGGGCAGCCCAACCATATACTCTACACCTATCTGTGAGTCGGAGCTACGCCATTCGAAGAGCTAGAGCTGACTTTCAGGCATACGGAGGAAGTGCGTTTCGCAGCTCGTCAAGGGCGCATGCTGACGGCAGAACCGCGTAAATTACCTCCTTACCCCGTCGCCGCAGGGTGACTTGTGCGTCGCCAAGTTGTTCCCGCCGGCACGCGCAGGCTCGACATCCAACTCATCCTTGCCGACAATGCCGAGCCAGCGTAACAATGTCGTGCATTGCGAGGCGTCTCGTGATCTCAAGTGGACGATCGAGAACACCGGAAGGATGAATCCGACGTACAAGATCGTCAACCAAGACGACACGCCCCTCTACCAGATCTCCAAGCCCAACCCTCACGCGGAGCACTGGACCATGTTCTACTTCAAATACGCTGGACACCAAATCCCTCCCCGGCGTGTCGAGTTTGGCAAGATTCAGAAGAACCCACAGGACCGTGGCGGCGGCACGCGCATCACCATCACAGGCAAGACCGATGACGAGAAGCAGGTCTGGCAGACCCTTGGTGTCGGTAACGAGGACTGCGTCGAGTGGGTGGTGGCATGCGCATGCCTCAACCTCCTGGAGTGAGTTGCCTGCCCGGATTGAAGCTCACACGCAGCGACCAAATTCTTCAGGCTGCCGAGAGGAAGCAGACCGGTGCCGGCCCCGCATCCACTGCCCCATCTCCTGCGATGCGCACCAGCCCCGTCGCCCGTGGCCCCGGGCCAGCGGCGACGCGGGGCTTCCCTCCGGCTGGCGCACCATCACAGAATGGCCGCATGGGTCCCGGTATCGCATCCACCGGCCCCGGCATTGCTTCGACAGCGCCTCCCGGAGGCTACCGTGGCCCCCCTCCACAAATGCAAGGTCGGCCGCCCATGGGTCACCCCGGTCACCCGCAGCAGCCCCCTCCCCAGGGCTACAACCCGCACATGCGTAGCCCTGTTAGCCCAAACCCCGGGCAGCGCGGCATGCCGCCAATGCAGCGTCCGCCGCCCCAAGCCGCCGGCAGGAGACTGTGATAGGAAGTCCGAGGTGCGAGCTTGCTGGGCCGCCTTCGCCGGCTGGTTGGCCAGAGGGGGTGACGGATGGGCCCCCGTGTACATGTGTACTGGCATTTTGGAGTGTGGACAGTTTCTTCTGGGCTATACCCTACATTGATACTCCGCGACGGATGCAGAGCGTAACGAGCAACGATGCATGCTGTGCGAAATCAACACTAGAAACCCAAGATTATGGAGCCATGAAATGGCGGTGGCATCCCCTTCCATTGCCGGCGGAATGTCGCAGAGCGCGGGTGCCTACCTATGTGCCTCGGCCGTGCTCGTGGAACGAGCAGGTGATAATGATCGGGAGAGCGCGGGAGCAGGGGGCGGAGGTGCTGAAAGAGATTGGTGTCCAGGCGGTAGCCGATTGTCCATGGTCGACATGGCACAGCGCGCGTCGGAGTCGAGGCCCTATGAGACTGATCGTCTGCGTACGATCGACATTCAAGCAGAGATTGACACTACCACCTGTGAGCGAGGAGGCTCCGGTCCGCTTATCGCCTTTGCTGTTCTCTCGATGCCCAAACTCTTCTGCGGAGCGCGCAATCTCTTCCCCCTTTTCCTAACCTTCCCTGTACTCCTGGGCGCGCGCTGGACTTGTCTTGCCTTACTCGTCACGCGAGTTCATGACCACAGCGTTGAAGTCCTGCCCCACTCCCCACTCGTCACACAGCCGCTTGACTTCGCTCATGTCTCCACGGTGGTTGTATGTCCCGTAGTGTGGCACGAGCGAGGTGACATCCGTCATCGTGCTGAACTTACGCTCAGCCTCGGCGAGGGGCAGGCGCAAACGTTCCGTGACCTGGAGTTAGCAAGGGCCCTCCTCTGTCTCCTGCCACACATGCACGCAGCGCTCCTCACCTTCTTCTGGAAGCTCGGAATATCGCCCCAGCTCACACTCTTGATGTCGGCCATGTATCTGTCGACGGCGCGGCCACCGCCCTCGACGCACAGCAGCGCAGGCTTGCCGGCCAACACGAACCCGTTGAGGCGATAACTCTCGGCATACGAGACGAGGTCTTTCCTCTTCTCGCGCGTGCTCAGCGACGGGAACCAAAACCACACGCGCTCCAGCGGCCCGTCATCCACCGCTTCTTCTTCCGCCTTCACCTCTTCTTGCACGAGTGCGGGCGCAGCGGCGCGGATCGCCTCGATCGCCGCCATCACGGCCTCGGTCGCCTCACCCTCGCTCACTGGTAGCGAGGCCGACAGGCGCTGGTATGCTGCGCGGGTGAGGAAGTCGGGTGGGCGGAGGGCGAGCCGGGGCGGGCCGGATTCGAGAAGCGAGACGGAGAGCTCAATGCGTCGCGCGTCGTCGTCGTCGTCGATCGGCACGCGCACGATCACGTCTAGTGGATAGGTAGGAGGAGAACCGGCAAGAGCGGAAGAGGCGCCGTCGGAGAGCACGAGCTCGCCTTCCATAGGGTACATGGCTACCAAGAGCTCGAGGGCGGAAAGAGCGTCGTCGGTCATGGCGAGCAAAGAGGATGTGCGGAAAGTTGGGGGCGTATGGAGGCGATGTGAGGCCGAGCGATGGGGAGATCGGTGCGCGTACAGGTAATGTAGACGCGGAGACGAGTCGTTGAGATGAGGAAGAGCTTGAATGCGATTCTGCGCGGATTTGCGGAATTGTGCTTTGCGCCGAGATTGCAGGATGCGGGGCCCGTGCCTGACCCATCTGTCGTGCCGCATTTGCCTGGCAACGATGACTTTCATCGTCTTCCTTTGTCCATGCTCAGCGCAGCATGCGCGTTTTCTGGCCTACAAACATCGAGCGACGGACGGGTACGGCAGTTGGGTGGCGCCTAGGCGACAGCGGGGAGATACTCGTGATCGTGGACGTCGTGGAGGTTGGTGCATTCCTGTCGTCGTTGACCACAGAACGAAGCCGTCCCGGCGATCGATCCACCGCTGGAGCCACTCGCCCACGTCCTCGCCGGCGCATCAGCTCCGGAATCAGACTCGAGTGCGGGGCTGACCATCTGGGCCGACCCCTCGCCGGTCGCTTATTCCCTTCACGTCGAGACTGTGCTCTTCACCCCTATGAGAGATCTGACTCTGCCTGCGGACGAGGGGGAGGAGGCGGGGTACGGCGTCCCGGTAGCGGCCGACCTGCGTGGACTTCTGGGAACAGTGAGATTCAGATGAGCAGGAGCTGACGGCAGCTGAATGCCGTCGCGTCCGCGCAAGATCAACTCCGCGGCCGTAGGCCTGCCCCGTCCACGCCGATGGGAGGTGTCACCTTCCTCGCCCCGTGGCTGTTGCTCGGCGCGGGAATGGTGTACTCTAGCCTTCTGACAAGAACAACGAGCACTCTCCTCGCTGTGGCAATGGCGAGCGCTCTCCTCTTCCAGGGACTGATTAGAGGCCCACCCCGCCGAGCCTCTGTCCGCTCTCCACTTGACCGCCTGTGCCTTCTTCCTCTGCCACTTTCTAGCGCTCTTTGTATGTCCTCCTCTTGCCCCACTGATGCCAGGTTATCAGATTAAGCAGCGGGCAGTTACCATTGCTGAGCTGCTCGAGTGTCCGATGGACAACAGGAACTCCGTCGCGCACTCCGCCTCGGCTGCGGCTGTTAACGTGAGCTTCAACAAGCTAGCTGTCTCTTTCCCCTCGGAAGCTTTGCCCGCCCACTCACACCAGATGGATCTGCTTCTGGGAGCGCTCGTAGGCGTGCTGTTGCTCGCACATCCGCACCTTCCTATCCCGCCCGATGTGGCCGACACCCTCACGCTGCCGATCATCGCGGCGCTCCGTTGGCTCGATGACTGGCCGTTTGGTCTCAAGCTCAACACCGGGCTGAGCGCGTTTCTGTGTGATTCGATCACGCATGTGTTAGGGTATTGGCGCGGTGAGCTCAATTTACCAACTCTGAAAGCTGACGCGAGACGCTGCCTCGCCCATTCTTGTTCACGCGCTGCCGCACCTCTCAACAACTCTCGCTCTCGTCTGCTCTTTCGGGGTCTCATTTGGCGTCGCTCTGTCCTCAGACCTTCTTACCCTGCTGACCCTCCACCTTCGCCTTATCTACCTCGCGACAGCTGCACTGTCGCGCGCGTCGATGACTGCTCTCCTTGGCCTTTGGGACCTTTTTCGAGGTAAGCACGCCTGATATCATCTGCAGTGATGGTTATGGCTAACTCTAGGCCGCCGCTGGAATGTCCTGCGCCATCGTACCGACTCGCATGCCTTTGAGGTTGACACGCTATTTCTCGGCACCCTACTCTTTACTGTGACGGCCTTCCTGGCGCCGACGGTGCTAGCCTACGGCCTATTGTTTAGCCTGGCGAGTACCACGTCAAGCACTGGCTGGTCGCTGACGAAGCAGATTAATTTCGTCATCTCCAGCGCTCAACGTGTCCTTTCCGTCGTCATTGCTGGGATCAATCGCTCCGTGGCCTTCCAGCTCGCGGCCTCACTCCCTCCCTTCCAAGGCATTCCTGGTAAGTAGACTTCGCCTCTGTTGTCGAGGAAACTGACGTCAGACGGCATTGTGTTCGACATCGTGTCCGCAAGCACACGTGGGCAAGCTGCAGCCGGGCCCTACCCCGTGCATCACGCGCTCGAGCTCAAGGTGAGTTGTCGAGGTTGCTACACAATCTGACGACAGAGAACGTCCATGGGCGCCGGCGCGCTGCTGGGGCACTGGTGGCGCGACGCCTTGCTCACCGCTCGATAGAGTATTAGGGACCTGCATCTACTAATGTACAACAAGCTGTATCGATTGCTTGAGACAAGCTGGCGTCGCCGCAGGGAGGGCCAGACCGAGTTGTGCGCATGCCGACGTTTGAGCCGTGAGAGTAGTCTGGCGTCAGTGTCCTCTCCGTCATGATCATGCGCTCGACTTACCACATAGTGCACACGGCGGCAGCAGCACACCAGACGAGAGCAAGCACACCGACTCGAGCGCGGGCCGCCCCGCTCTTCTTCCCAGCCCCACTACCGCCGGTACATCCACCATGGGCGTTGACGAGGGTTCTGTTCGCGGCGGCCATCCCGTCCGAGCACGCGATGAACATGCGCCGGTCGCGCGTCTCGCACAGAGGATCGGTCCACTGCCCACCAACGACAGCGCAGCAAGTCACAGCGACGAATGGGACAGGCGAGGTGCAGTTCTGCGGCGTTCCAGGCATGATGAGTGAGTGTAAATGAGAGTGTTAGGTGTTGTCGTCACTTTGAGCATCATTTATACCCCTCGCCCATACACGGAACGTGTGCCGGCAAACCGGGTGGCGTCCGCTATCCTCGACGTTCGTGAGACATGTACACGTTCCTGGTCCGCTCCCAGAGCCCCGGAGCTTCAGGCCTCCATCTTCCTGTCCTCCCAACTCCTCCTCCTCCTCCGCCACCACAATGCAGATTTGCACCGGTCTTTGCTGCACGGCCATGTCGCCGCGCTCTTGCCGCCAGTGGACCCGCTGAATTGCCGCTGTTTGGTTCCAATTCAGCGACCTTCATGCCTCCGGGGAATGTTCCGGCCTCGCGAAAAGATGTGAGACATGTGCACAGGATGCGCGCGCGTACTTGGCCAATCTGGACGAGCATGGCCAGGCCCCTCGTGGCTGTGAGATCGCGGGGGAAACGTGTGTGGCCGTCCGCAGCCTATCGCGGCCAGCGGATGCACAGGCGGCCAAAATGCAGTAGGCCATCTGCGCCGCCCCAGCTCTCAACATCCATCGGACCTGCGAGCGGAGGCGCGAATCGCATCTGCAGCCCGTGAGTGAGCAGGCCTGCCGATAGTTGCCAGCGTCGCGGTCTCACCGAGGTCCGTCGCCCGCTGATCCATGGATCCCCGACTCCTCGGACGGAGGTGCATCAACAGTCTGCGGCGGTCGCCTGCAGTCGCGTCCTGTCGGACTACTGGCCTAACAAGGTGTCGCATCGCTCGAAGCGGTGTTGTCGCAGCTGCCGCCCGAGAACGAGACACCACCGCTGTGTGCGTCCACAAGCTGGTTCCGCTCGGGTAGGGAGGGATGTCGCTCCATGCTCCGTCCTGAGCGAGGCCCGGAAAGCAGTGCACGCCGTTTGCGCTGTCTGCCCCCACTGCGCCGACACATGGCTAGCGGGATGCACGAGCGAATTTCCGCCATCCTCCCCCTCGCAGGAGCGAGCTCAACGAAGAGCGGCAGTGCTGGTGTCCCCCGGCGCCCTCCGCCAAGCGCCGTCACTCGGAGATCTCACTCGAAAGGACATTCTGGAGTCAGCCATGCTCCGCAGGATGTCTCACTGCCCAGCCAGTCCAGATCGAGCAGGCCTACTCAACTGACCTGGTGGAGAGCGCACTGCTTGCCCCAGGCCTCGTGCGAGGCAGAGCGTCGACGTTCCATGCCCTACGTTGCTCAGCGCCCACATGCTGGCTGGATCACACTTCAACTGAATGTAAGGTTGAATTCAGCTTCGTCCCCGATGCGAAGCAGCGTTCGCTAGGTCACTTGTCAGCCAGAACAACCTGATTGTCAGCCGCGATCGACAAGCGTTCCTCGCCCGGCTCAAGCTCATTTGCCCGCCTGCCCGCTGCTCCCCCACGGCTCAACCTCAACGCCCAGCCCCACCCTGGCCACTCCGGTCCCTTCAGCTCCACAGATGCACATGATCCCTCCGCCGGCACTCTCAGGCAACGCGCTCAGACCGCCAAACTCTCCATTTCGGAGGCTGCAGGAGGCGCAGCGGTTGAACCCCTCCGGATCCCATCCCGAAGCGAGGTTGCCGAGTGACAAGGTGCTCCGAGCCTGGCAGAATGCAAATGGACCGATGTCGGCCCGTGGAAGATGGCCGCGGGCGAAGGCGAGGCAGCCGCTTGTGAGCAAAGAGTATCCTGGACGGGATACGGCAGTGACGGCGCGTCCAGTGTTGAGGGATGCACTGGAGGCTACTCCGTCGACCTCGTTGTGCTCGGGAGGTGGTCGGATGCTGCTTGTGCCCAGACTACAAGCTAGTCCCAGGAGGGATGCAATGGGCAACACGACCGCGCCCGCCGGGGGTTTAGGCGACACTCTGGGCAAGTTCCGACAAGCGCATGCAGCCTTCACAATCTGTCGCTTCTGTTGCCTGCGAAGCGAGCAAGTCCCCAGCAAGCCGAGGGCGCAGGCTAGGTTGCAGGCTTACCAGCTCATCCGACCCCGCCAGAGAGCTGGGGAAGCACGACCAGCTCGGCGTGCTCAGCCAGAGGGCTTAGCCACCGAGGTTTCCGAGCTCAACCAGCCGCTTAGTGGGAAGCTTGGCAGACAACTAGCTAGACAGCTGCAGCCGAGTGTGCAGCGCGAGCTGAGGTGTTCTCTCGCCTCAACGTAGCTCCCTATTTGGGCCTCTGGAGCTCCCCAGCGGAGAGGTCACGCTCACTGCCTATCCTCGAGTAGCTGTAAGTCGTGGGACTAGGACACCCGACGCTTCCGCCCAATCCTCACGATCACCATAGCACACGCCGCTGCAATCGGCATGACTCACGCCAACCCGATCTACGGGCCCAAGCTCGCCGATCGCCGAATCTCCATCTCGGATGGACACAGCTCGCTCCGAATGACGCTCCGATCTCTCTCCATCCCCGACCCGGGCGCAGGGCGCAGCGATGAACTCACCGGGCACGAGCATGAACGAGCATGAACAACACATCCTTGAGGCAACGGTGGATGATGAGTGGGCGCCGATGGAGTGCGACAATCTCTGTCATGGATCATGGAAGAACCTGTCCCACCAGTCAACTGCAAGAGCTCATTATCGTCGGAACAGCATCACAATGCATGCGCCGTCAAAGAAACAACCCGAGCGATCTAGGTGGCGCGGGGCACCAGGTGACGCTCGGAATCTTCGTTTCGAATTTTCGCTATCAGATCACAGATCAGTGCCCGCATCGCGCTCGCTAACTAGTTTCCCGGGATCATGTGACTCGGGCCCGCATATACCAAATCAACCTCGGGTGCGCCGACGGTCACTCTCGGCATCTTGGCTGCTCGCTTGCGCTGCTGCAATCCTACAGGCACAGCGATCGCCCACCCGGCGAGATATCGGGGCGTGTTGCGAATTTGCGGGCCGGCGTTGCTGGGCTGCCACTGGTGGAATGGCGGGCTCGAGGGGTCGGAACCTGCGAACATGTTGCTGGAACAATCGTTCGGCTGGGAATGCTGGGCGCCACGAATTAAGTGGCGGACGGCGGCATGCTAGTGCCCTCCGACAGCCATACGCACCCACAGATCAGCAGAACATCTGGGCTGACGCCAACACCGTTGTTCTAGCGCCCCCAGCGGCCATCCTCTGAAAACGCCGTGAGATGTGGCTGCCGGTGTTAACTGTGGTGCGGAAAGCTATCCCAGGCAAGCGAGTGAGCGGGCGAACGACACGGCGCCCGCGGCGGCGCCGAGACTAGCTGGCGACGATTCAGAGGTGTCACGTGTGGGTTATCGCAGGCGGCACCGGGCCGCTGCGGGCGAAACGCTGCGGGCGATACTCTCGCCACGTCAGCTCGCCGACTTTGGACGAGATTGATCCGGCGATCCGGTGGGCTGCGATGGTGGAGGTGGCCATGCCGTGGCGGCTACAGGCACGGGCCAGGGTGCGATGGGCCCGACATTACTGGCGATGGAGAGGAAAGGAGAGGCAAGGAGAGGCAAGGAGAGAGAGCGATGCGTTGGGGCAAGGAGTAATGACCGGTGTGGCTTCGGAAGAGGTGATAGCCGATCTGTGGCAGCCAGTCACAGTGATATCTCGGACAAGCTGCCGCTGATGCCCTGGATTTGTTCCGAGTCTCCACTGACACTGACACTCCCGCACCCGATGCATTCTCTGGTCTGCTGGGCGAGTCTCCGGCTGAACCTCCGAGGCTCGAGCTCAGCTGCAGGTGGGTGCATCATGAGGCCTAGCAGAGCTAGTATTCACGCACAGATGGCTGTGGGGAGCACACGCAGCGTCCGTGAAGAGTAGTGCGAATCGGAGTGTGGGGTTGGTGGGCGGTGCGGCGCGAGGCCGCGCAAGGACGTGAATGCCAAAGTTGCGTGGCGGGCATGACAGCACAGGGCGTCCCAAGTCTCCGATCTGGCTGGCCTGCGTCAGGTCATTTTGACGCAGGCCGCAGTCCTAGTCCGGGGCCTCGTGTGCTCCAATCTCTGTCTCAACTGGCTCATGGCTCAACTCTTGGACCCCTGGGAGCATCGAGACAGGGTAGCCAAGTACGCTTATTGTCTGCTACGCCGTGCCAAGCCGTGTTGGGAGATGACTGCTGGCATCTCGGGATGTTCGACTTGGTGCTGCTTGTGGACTTTGTCTCGGAGCCCCCCCCTCACGACCCACAACCCCCGCATCGCGGTCCCTCGTGCCTCGCCGCCGGCTATAGCGGTTGCGCTCGACCTCTCCTGCCCCCGCCCCATCTCGGATGCCTCGGAAGAGGTCGCTGGTAATGAGAGCCGACCGGCCACATGCCTTCAGGGCTGGCTTTGACCAAGTGACCGAATCAGCTCGGAGGCAGGCTGGCTGGGCGGTATGCGTGTGCATCGCTGGCAGCTGGCATGGTAGGCTGGGTACGTGTGGCTTGGGAAACAACGTTGTGTGTGGGAGGACGGCCCTCGTCAGAATGATATAAGAAGGCGCAGTCTGGGCGTTCTCATCCCCATCAACCAGCTCCAACCGTCACTACTTCTACTCCTCTCACATCCAAACCCCACCCACCCAAAGCAACAACACCGCAATGTCCAACGAGCAGATCCCCAAGAAGCAGCTCGCCGCCGTCTCGGACGACGCTTCTGGCTTTGAGATCAAGGAGATCCCCGTTGTCCAGGCCAACGAGCTTGAGCCCGGCCGTGCCCTCGTGAAGGTCCTCTACTCCGGTGTCTGCCACGTAAGTCGGTCGCGATGAGTCAAGTGGAAGCACATCCCGCTAACTCTCAGACTGACCTTCACGTCATCAAGGACGACTGGCCGGTCAAGGCTGAGCGCCCCTGCATCGCCGGCCACGAGGGTGCTGGTATCATTGTCGCCATCAACGACCCCATCTCCAAGCTCAAGGTCGGAGACAAGGTCGGTGTCAAGTGGATCGCCCACTCGTGCAACCAGTGCGAGTTCTGCATTGCTGGCGAGGAGCCCCTCTGCCTCGAGGCCAAGTGCTCAGGCATCAACGCCCAGGGCTCGTTCATGCAGTAGTGAGTACTGAAGACCGGCGCTCTTTGTGCTCTTCACAGGAATTGCACTGACAGACCCAGCTGCCCCGCCTACACGTCGCAGCTCACCCCCATCCCCGACGGGATGGACATGGCTGAGGCCGCCCCTATTCTCTGCGCTGGTGTGACCGTCTACAAGGCGCTTAAGAACTCGCGCGCTCGCGCTGGCCAGTGGATCGCCATCCCCGGTGCCGGTGGTGGTCTTGGTTCGCTCGCCGTTCAGTACGCCAAGTGGATGGGCCTCAAGGTCATTGCCATCGACACTGGTGCCGAGAAGAAGAAGTACTGCCAGGAGATCGGCGCCACCGCCTGGGTCGACTTCAAGGAGGAGAAGGACATTGTCTCTGCCGTCAAGAAGGCCACCCAGGACGGCCTTGGCCCTCACGCCGCCATCATCACCTCGCCCAAGCCCGAGGCTTACCTCATCGCCATGGAGTACATCCGCCCCCGCGGCACCGTTGTTGCTGTCGGTCTCCCCCCCGCCGGCGCCTACGTCAAGGCCGACGTCTTCTTCACCGTCCTCCACAACAAGACCCTCACCTCGTCGTACGTCGGCAACCGCCAGGACGCGATCGAGGCTCTCCAGATTGTTGCCGACGGCCACGTCAAGTGCAGAATCCAGACTGTCCCCTTCAAGTCGCTCGAGAAGGTCTACACTCAGATGGAGGAGGGCTCGCTCGTCGGCCGTGCCGTCCTCGACCTCTTCGCCTAAGCGCATGCTTGGCGCCAAAAGACCTGAGCGCGGGTCTGACGGCCTGACGGTCTGACGGGCCCTCGCCCCAGACCAGGCCAGTCTCTGAGTAGACGGGAGCATCAGAAGAAGTTTGGGGTTTCATTTTGTCATTAGCAGGAGCAAATGCAGTTGTGCAGTCGACAGTGGTTGCGGTGAGCGTTTGCCGCTCTCTCCTGGATTGCACTGACTTGTGCTCGACTGACCAGCATTACTCGCCATGGCTCGCTCGCAGCATCGACTGCGAGACTGCGAAACTCGCACCGAGCGATGCACATGATCATACCGACGCCCTTCACACGCCCAGATCGCCCTGAGGCGCCACTGACCTCACCACAATCCCAAAACAGGTAGGCCCCTCGGCTTATCGCGGTTGCCGCTTACTGCCGGGTGGGGCGTCTTTTGTTCACATCCCGAATCGGCCTAAGAGTTATAAATCAGTGGCCTGTGCCGAGCACGGGCGCGACTTACACTTCGCCGAAGTCTGCGACGCGATCCAACTCGTCTGGTCTCATGGCGCTGGAGCGCCCTCTTATATGCATGCGCCGCGACCGCACGGGTACCCCCTGCGTGAGTGCAGACTACAGGGACTGCACTTTGAGGACTTTGAGGACCACAGTCGAGGCGGTCAAGTCTCTACGAGTAATGTCAGCTACCGTACGTGTCCCCGCCTCCAACTCCCTCGATCCTGGACTAGCGAGTCCGACACGCACAAGGCGGGCCCTGCATGTTCGGAGGTCCACACCGGCCACGCTGCGTAAGCCGGAGTGGCGTAGTCTCGTGACCTCGCTTCTCGCCAACCTTACTGCAACTCTGTAACTCGTCAACCTTGTGCCATGCGTCAAGGGCACGCAAATGAATGGCAGCTGACTTTGTCATAATGTGCGCAGCGGTGACGCCAGGGGGACGCCGAAAGGGGCGGCATGTCTCCGCATGCTAGTTCACGTGCGCCCTTGCCCACTCTGGAGGCAGCAACCGTCGTAGCCGTCGCGGCCATGACGAGCAGATCTGGACGCCGGCCGCCACCGGCGCGCACATGTGTTCACTTAGCCGAGGCCGAGGAGGTGGTGGAAACGCAGTCAAGACTACGTATGTGAGCGCGTGAACTCTACATCGGGTAATAAACAATGGCGTTATAAGCTAAATGGTAAAGTCTGGTATGCATACCTGGTACCCATAAATATGGGGAACATATAAGGGCCTCATCCGCCTGCCCCAGACCAAGTGTGATAGCATTACAACACACCTACTTACTGCTTCGTCAAGGAGTCGCCGTCCCACTGAGCGCCGACAGCTGATCAACATCGTATGACGCGCCATGGTCACTGGAATATGCAATGTAAAGACAAGGGCAATGAATGTTGAGGCGGTGCGTTGGATGCGGTGCATACTGTTCGTTGCGTCAGTTGGAATGTGTGGCTTGGCATACACGGCATGTCGTACCTCCACCACATCAACAACTGGTTGCCTTGGTCAACAACCGCCACTTCCCACACATTAAGCATCGCTCACTAACTACTCAAGCCGTCCCTCTCTTTCCTCTCTTGTCTCCTCGGCTCCTCTCGCCTTTCCACACCTCCCCCGTTTATCGCTACTCCGATGGGCCCCTTCAAACGCGATCCCGACGGTCCCCCCGGCTACCAGGAGGGCAGCGGCGGCTATCTGCCGGAAAAGAAGGATCCTTATAGCGTCTCAATGGGCGCTGGGCCAACGGCAGGCCCATCGCAGCCGCTCTTCGCGTGTCTTCACCTCAGCCGCGAAGACCGTCTCCGTCTCTTAGGCTTTCCCCCGCACATCACGGAGGTCATCAAGAACACCCTGGCCATTGCGTGGCCTGTCGGCCTGCAGAGCTCCGACGGCGGGCCGGGATGGTTTGAGTTCAAGTTGCGCGGTTATCCATGTGTGTTTCTTCTGGCGCTGCATGCTTTGAACGAAAGCGACTGACCGCAGGGTCCGCTCAAGGGCGCGAGGCGGTGCCTTCGAAACGGCTCATGATCCACCTGCTTCACCACCTGTCGAATGCGGGGTGGCACCTCGCCGCGTCCACCGACCTGTCTAAGAAGAGCTGGGACAAAGATAGCCTCATGTTCCGTGCCGGACCGCCAGTGCACAGGATCATCTTCGCCGTCACGTTCAATGTAAGCATGGGCGCTGAGCGCCGGGACTGACAGCAAGGAAACCGACAAGATCCGCATTATCGACCCGCCGAACGACAGCATCCAGCAGGGGTTCATACAGACGGTCACTGTGAGTTGTTTGAGCTCCGCCACTGTCCTGCACCCTCTCGCATCGCGACATTGCGGTGTGACGATGCGACGGGCGCTGGCTGCAGACTGGTCCGCGCTAACGCCCAGCGCTGCTGGTCTGCCGGTATTCAGGACCAGAAGATGAAGGAGGAGAGGTGCTACCAGATGAAGCTGCGAGGCAACCCGTGGTACGCGAGCAGTTCTCAGCAGGTCAACGATGCGCGCTACCTCGGCCTCGGGCTCTTGAGCACTTTCGACGCGATGGGTTACGAGCTCTTGGGGTGTATAGACATGAACACAGGAATGTCCGAGGACAATCGCGACAGTGCGTACATGTTCTGAAGATGCTGTGGCATAGCTGACGGCAGTGGACGCGTGGTTTTTCGCCGCCAAGATTGTGTGAAGCGGAGAGCGTGTCATGAGAAGAGAAGGACGCCGCACTGCACGAACACAGCGCTGGTAGAGTGATGATCAATTGAATGGCAGACGCGACAGCGCCACCACTCTGTTCCACCACGATGATTGACGCGCCCGGCGTATTTCAAGTGGATCACCTTGTTTATTATCGTCACGCATGGATGCAGAGTGAATTTGCCGCTGTTCTCCCCTTACTGCTGTGATCAATTGTCAGACATGGAGCGTGAGCTTGACCCTGCGCAGAGCAGCTCGGTGCACTCGTCTCCATCGGCAGCCATGTCGCAGTGCTTCATAGGTTTTTGTGGGAGAGCAGTACCTCAGATCTTTGCGACACACTTCCCCTGGTCGATGGCATCCAGGTTCAGACAGTTACTGACGTGGCGGGTTTCGCCGAAGGTACGTGTCCTCTGGAAACCCGAAGATCGCCTGACTTGTGAGGACGCGCCTCGAGAACGCTTTGCTCAGCGACGCCCCTCTTCATGGCCTGTAACACCTTGTCCGGGGAGGCCGGAGGGTGGTGAGGGCCCAGAAGTAGCACGGGTGATACTCCGCGGCTGCAGATGCGGGGGTGTATGTCGTTGGTAGGCCAGAAAATACGGTAAAGTCATTAGACCAGCGAGCTCGCCGAACGCAGTAATACTAGCGACATTGTGTCCCAGATCACCCCTTGTTGGAGGGGAGAGTGTGGCTACCACCTTCCTAGATCCTAACAGTCATTGTGTCGCGTCTCGCGACCACTGGTCGCTCGCGTTGCACCTTCCTCTCAATCGTCTACAGAGACGGGAGTGTAGATGTCTCGAGGCACGCAAAAATGCGCGTGGCGGGAATTGTGGGATCAGCAGATTACGTGGCGTACTGTCTGACTGTGTTTCCGTTGTTCGCCAGTTGTTAGATCAGTGGGTCGCTAGATATTTACGATTTATTCAATTATTGCGTGTCTCAGTATTCAATGCACCATTGGTCTACATTTTCTGCTCGCTCCCGAGCACTAGTACGTGAGCGACGACATGTCCGCAGACATCCTGTTGTAGTCCAGGAGGCCCTCCACACGCCCGATAGCGCTCACGCATAGCGGGCGGTCCCACAAGTACTTCTCGGCGACGCGCTTGATGTCCTGGACGGTGACAGCGTTGACGTAGCGCTCAATCTCCTTGGGAGTGTAGCGCTTGCCGGTAGTGATGGTCTGGCGACCGATGTCCTCAGCGATGGCGGTGGTGCCGTCAAGGCCAAGGAGGAGCGAAGCCTTGAGCTGCGACTTTGCGCGCTCAACCTCAGCGGTGCTGGGGCCGATCGACATGCGCTGCCACTCCTTCATGATGAAGTGAGTGAGGTCGTCAAGGTTCATGAGGTTCTCCGAAACGGCGTAGATGCCCCAGAGACCGGTGTCCGAGTACGAGGTCGAGAAGGACATGAACGAGTTGGCGAGGTTGTTCGACGAGATGATGTGGCTGAGCCGGGACGAAAGGAGGGGCGAGGCACCGAGCGAGCGGTCCCAGTTGCCGAAGATCGACTGCATGACGAGCATCGGCCAGTAGTCGGGGGAGCGCCATCCGACACCCTCGACGGCGATGGCGATGTTGCAGGTCGACATAGTGTCGTCACGGATGCGGACCTCCGAGCCGGTGAACTGGGTCGGCTCGTGCGAGGCCTGGCCGAGGGGGATGGGGTTAGACGAGACGGGGAGCGAGGCAAAGTTCTCCTTGGCGAGCTCAACAAGGGCCTCGTGCGTGATCGAGCCAGCACCAACAAGAGCCATGCGGTCGGCAGTGTAGTTCTTGGCAATGTAGCCAGAGAGGTCGGCCTTGGAGATCGAGTTGATGTGCTCCTTGGGGCCAAGGATGGTGTTGCCGAGCTTGTGGCCCTGGAAGGCGATAGCGTGGAGGTGGTCGAAGACGACCTCCTCGAGCTGCTTGTCAACCTCCTCCTGCTCGCGGAGGATGACGTCGCGCTCGCGCTCGATAGCCGACTCGTCGAGCTTCGAGTTCTGGAGAATGTCGGAAAGAATGTTGACGACGGCGGGGACGTCCTTGTCGAACGCCTTGGCGTAGTAGACGGTCTGCTCGCGCGAGGTGTACGCGTTCAGGTGAGCGCCGAGGTTCTCAACCTCGAGCTCGAGCTGCATCTGGGAACGCGACTTGGTGCCCTTGAACGCGAGGTGCTGTGATGTTAGCCGAGCACTGGAGATGCGGAGCGAGGGCAACTTCGGGGAATTGCGAGGTGCGATGAGGGGTAATACATCGCCGGTGATAGGCGCGATGACAATGGGGCTGGCAACAGCTCCACACTGCACACAGCGCGCGCATCGGCGCCCAGCAGACACGGACGTGCACCCGCGCATGCTCTTCGCAACCCAACCCCTTCCCTTTGCATGAAGACCACATTTGTCCTCCGACTTCCTCAACCCTTCCTCAACTCACCTCGAGGAAGTGAGCAGTGCCCGAGGCGTTCGCGGCGTCGGCGCGCGAGCCGGCATCGATCCAGAGACCAACGGTCGAGGTCGAGGCGCCGGGAATGGTCTCCGAGACGACCGAAAGACCGTTCGACAGAGTCGAAGTCTTGGTGATGGGGTCGTTAGTCCTAACCGGGGTCGCGAGGGCGCGGGCAAGCGTCTGAGGTTAGCTAAGAGCTTCAACGCAGAGTCGGCGTGCGCGCAAGGTCTCCACCCGTCGCCGGCGTGGGGCATGCCCTCGCCGCGATGCTCCAGCATTGCCCAGCGACTTCCGAGACCGGAGCCACTTCGGCCAATGAGAACTGGGACAATTGATGCGGGGCGGAGACGCGGGAACGGCGCGCGCGAGTCGGAGAAGGACGCACCGGGACGCGAGGGGCGACCGCGGGGCGGACGGCCCGGGAGAGGAGGCGGGCGGCGGACATGGGGGTAGAGGTGGGGAGGGGGGATGTAGCAGCGATGAGCACTGGTGGCCTCGACGTATAGCGGATCCCGAATGACCCAGCACGAGTGCCACCGGAGGGCTTCGGGGGAGATGAAAAGGCCGCGGCGTTTGGCTGAAAGTGGCACCGATCTACCTCGTGTGCCTTGATCCACGCGTCCAACACGTCACTGCAGCGACATGAGATGCCCTCCTCCGCATTCACAGACCATCAATAGCATCGCTTGCACCCAGCCTTTGCTCATCACTCAAACTCTCTATCTCGACGTCGGCAGCATCTGTCTTTTGACCGACCGCCACTTTGCAATTCCTGGTGTCTAGCGCAACCCACAGCTTTGCACAACTCCTCTTCCGCCTCCACATTCAGCCAACCTCCACTTTCCGACGCCAGCCATGTTCAACCAGAACTCGTACGGCCAGTACTCGTCCTCGTCAGGCGGTGGCGAACCGCTCGCATTCTACCAGGGCGGCTCAAACTACGGTGGATATGCAAGCCAGCCAAGTGGGGGAATGGGGTCGATGGGGTCTATGGGCGGAGGAGGGTACGCGAGCGGAAACATGGCGAGCGGGCGAATGTCGATGGGCAGCGAGGGAAGGTGGTGGGAGGCGTTTGGAACTGGAGGTCTTGAGGGCGAGCCAAGTTTGATGGAAGGTGAGTCGAAGATGCAGGCCGCGGCGTCGACATCGAGGATAGCCGTAATGAACATGCGTATATTACTCGCCCCTTCGCTGAGCATGCGCTCACGCCAGAACTCGGTATCGACCCGGGACACATCCTGCAGAAGTCACTCACGGTGCTCAACCCATTGGGCAAGGTGGACACGCACATTATGGACGACGCGGACATGGCTGGCCCTCTTGTCTTCTGCTTTGCATTCGCATTCGTGTTACTCCTTGTGAGTGCACGACAACTCTTCCAGCGTCGCTGACAGCAGTCTGGCAAGCCACAATTCTCGTACATCTACGGAGTAGGGTTGTTGGGCACCATATCGATCTACACATTGCTCAATCTCATGAGCGACTCGGGCATCGACGCGTACCGCACAGCGAGTGTGCTGGGATACTGCCTGCTGCCGATGGTAGGACTCGGTGGACTCGGCATCGGGCTAGGCATGGACACGGCCGTCGGCGGCATCCTGAGCATCGTGAGCGTAGTGTGGTGCACGTACGCCGCGAGCACAATTTTCGTGGCCGTTCTCCGCATGGATCGTCAACGCCTCCTTGTCGCGTACCCAGTCGGCCTGTTCTACGGGTGCTTTGCGCTCCTCAGCATTTTCCAGGTCGCTAAGTAGAGGTGTAAGATGCAGTCATCGCATATCATCGTTCAGTGGATGTCAGGACGGCAGACTGCCACGGCTCGATGTCTCGCGGAGGCCGTGGGTATGAGGCCAATCTTGGATAATGCAGAGATCGCGAGCGGAGCCGTCCCTGGCCCACAATAATATTACAGGAGTGCATCTACCCTAGTACTCTCCTACGCCAGCCCGTCCAACTCGTCCTTGGGTGCTGCCTTAGGAGCTGAGGCGGCAGGCCGTGATGCGGAGGAGGGCATCAGCTTCGAGTAGTCGCTAAGGAGGTCGTCAAACTCGGCATCCGAAACAGTCGCGGTCGGGACTGCGATCAGCTCAGATGCTGATACCAGAACTTACACTTCGGCGCGGGTGGCGTTGGGGTAGTGGCCTTGCTGAGGCCAGCGACGATTGCGCGGCGGAGCTCGGCGCCGGTGAGCGGGCGCTCTGGGGCCGGAGCAGCAACGCCACCGCCAGCCTTGGGCGGTGTCTTTGGCTGAGGTCAGCTCAGCATTGCTGCTTCACGGCTGGTCGCATCGCAACACAACCTGTACATAGCGACTCACCTCGTTTGCCCGCTTGCCACTCGGGCCCATCGGATTGTCAACAATACCCGCTGCGCTACCGTACGGCGACTTAATCTTGCCCTCGGCGGCGAGGATGTCGCCTTTGGTGAGCATGCCGTGGCGGCCTGTTCCCTTAATCTTGGCCACCTGCTCGTCACTGAGACTGCTCTCCTGTAGCAGGCGTTCTGCGGACGGCGCGATGGGCTTGGAGTGGTCGACCTTACGGTGGGGTTTGGGACCCGACGACTCAGGTGCAGGCTTCGTATCCTTCGGCGCCTCCTTCGGCGCCTCCTTTGGCTCCTCCTTGGCATCTGTGGTCGGAATGGCCTCCTGCTGTGGCGACAAGTCCTTGGGCACCTCGAGCTTCGAGAGGTCGTCGCCCTCCTCCGCGAGCACGGCGATGATCTCGCCAACCGGCACACCCTTGCTTCCGGCCTGGAACACAATTTTGCCCATCACACCGTCGTCCTGCGCCTCGACATCGATGGTCGCCTTATCCGTTTCCTGCCAGTTAGCGGCACCTTCCCTTGCGCCTGGACATCCTGGACCGCCTGAGACGGGCACTCACCACCTCGAGAATAACGTCGCCGGCCTCAAAGCTCTCGCCCTCGTTCTTCTTCCACGCGGCGATCCCGCCCTCGGTCATCGTCGGCGACATCGCTGGCATGCGGAGGAAGCTGCTCGCTGCCCGCGTCTGCATCGCTGCTGTTAGCAATGCCTCGACCTCGCCATACCGAAGGGACGGCGGACGGCGGCGCGGGCGCCGCGCAAAGACCTGGCGATGGTGCTTGCTGCCCGCATGATGGATGTTGTGATTGAGGCGATCAGGCGACGGGGTATGGTGATGGTGAGCAAGAGAGGCAATGAGGTGGGGAATGGGGCGGGACGGAAGCAAATGGGACGCCGACTGCCGCACTTGCCGCATGCCTCATGTCAGACGGGGGTGGGCGGCCCGGCCGATCCGCTCGGACATGTGCTCGTTTGTGCTTTGCAGTTCCACCTCCACTCATCGCTCAGACGGCTCCCGAGATGGGCGGTGAGTTGCGAGTGAGCTGGTCGATGCAGTTGAGGATGTCCAGTGCATGACGAATGTGGTGGAAGGTATCGTCCACGAGCGGGAATGGCGGTGAGAGGAGGGGAGTGTGGGGAAAGTTACCCCGGGGTTTTGCCGCGGCGACAACGTGAACAACTTTCCGCCACAACCACCTGATCGAGCAATCTAGCCAGACGAAAGTGTTGGCATCGATCTCAATGTTCTCACTGTTGTCTTATGATCTCTCCAAATGGAGAGTACGCAAGACGTAGGGATGCGCCGTCGCCGTGCGCATCTGAGAAAGTGCATGAGCCACACCCCGGTAATGGCCGACCCGAGTTGCCGGGCAAAGCATCGGCCGTAGTTGGATGTCACGTCGTTGTTGATTGACACTTCGTCACAACTTTACCATCGCCGTCTCTAACGACACTCTCGACCTCGCTAGGACCTATCGATCACCTCTGGCTGTGCCCTATCTCCTCCTCCGCTCCTCACTCCTCACCATGGCTTCCGTCCAGGCGCTCAAGTCGCGCCTCCGCTCCAACTACCGCTTCTTCCTCCCCTACCGCCTTCGCTGGGCTGACAATGACCAGTACGGACACGTGAACAACTCGGTGTACAACTTCCTGTGAGTGGCCGAGCTGCGGCTGCTGAGGTCGGCCCAGCTTGAGGCACCCATTGCTCAGCTCACTCACACCAGCATCGACTCGGTCGTGAACACCTACCTCATCGAGTCGTGCGGCCTGCGCCCGACCGACCCGAACCCGTCCGAGCCCATCGGCCTGGTAGTGACCAGCAGCTGCAACTACTTTGCTCCGCTGACTTTCCCCGATGTCGTCGACCTTGGCCTGCGCGTCAACAAGCTTGGCAATAGCTCAGTGACGTACGAAGTTGGGTTCTTCCAGCAGGGTAAGGACACTGTCGCGGCCGTCGGTGGGTTCACGCACGTCTTCGTCCACCCCGTCGAGCGGCGGCCGACGGCCATGGTGGAGCAGATGAGGCGTGGGTTGGAGAAGCTCGTGGTCGAGGACAAGGCGAGCTTGTGATGTAGACATTGGATTCGTGCTGCGTCCCACGGCGCCTGCCAGAGCGGCTGACCGCGAGAGTGTGGCGCACAACCTTGCAAGATCGTCACTGACACGCGGCTAACCTCCGATCTCTTGAACTGACTCTTGACTGAAGTCTGACGCGCTCGCGTCGACGCACTCGCACCCGGCGCCTAATGATGCGCCTTCCCAATCCCTGCCTGGCTTCGGTCTCAGCGCCGCTCTGCCTCATATCTTTTCCCGGTGTCACGACCCCCGCAACTGACCATCCTAACCGCATTAAACAGCACGAATAAACGGGAGCTGATATTATTGTCTACCATACAGTTCGACATCTGCGAAGGAAGCGGAACTTCTCATGTTGTCTGGTCGGACGTATGCGGCGCAACCGAGGACTTGACGCGACTGCTCGGAGAGGGGTATGGGCGATGAAAAGGACGCGGAAGGGAGCCAGACCTGTCGAGTGTCAGGCGTATGCTGCGACACGCCTTGTGGATCGCGATCTGATGATGTATTCGCGTGCGATGGCCCCAGGGCTCGCATGGCCCAGCTCAACGCTGCTTCACCTCCGCTCAAACCGTTATAGTGGCGACACAGAGTCGATGGCCCTAGACTCGTCTCAGCCGCTGCGAGCTTCGCTCTCACAGCGTACTCTTGACATGCTCGAGCTTGCATTGCGACCTTCGCTGTTCACACGGGTTTGCTTCAGGGCGGGAAGCGAGTGAGATGAAGAGTGGGATGGGTGTCAAAGCGGCTGAAGCACGTAGAACGAGACTTGCCCAATCTTTGGGGATCGTGCAAACGATGATGATTGTGCAAACTATGGCGATTGTGAGTATACGCAGCATCGCGTGGCCCCGAGTAGAGCGCTGGATGCATGGTGCAGGCAGCGGCGGGAGTGGCACGGCGCAAATGAACTGCATACCCTTGCCCTCTCACCAAACCCGGCTTGTTGCCGTGCGGCACAGAGGCCGGGAAGTGAAGCAGTTCGACGGCGCAGCGACGTTGGATGTTTGCGAGCTAGAACTGAAGCTAAGCCTTTTCAAGCACAGACTGCGAGGACGCGTGCACGAATACGTCAATTTACATCAAGAGGTCAAGGAGCGCTGCTTTCTGTAAGCTATCAGCACATACAATTTTGCATCGCATCACGGGTTGTCGACGGCGCAACCAACGTGTCGGAGAGAGAACTGACTGGTGCAGATGAATCTCCATCGCGTGGATGAAATGCTTGGCGTCCAGACTCGAAGCCTCTGCCCGTGCTGCATGTGTGCCACGCTTCTGCCAACGTTGCGGCGTGGACGTGGTTGGAGCAGGATCGCTGGCTGTGATCTGCCAGCGCAAGGATCACCCAAGGCTTGCAACATCTCTACATGCTGGACCACATATCGCTCTTTATTGGGCGTTGTACTGTATCGAGCACGAGAAATTGTGCTATGTCCGGTCAGAATTTCCTCTTGTCTCGTGTATCTTGGCAGAATTGACGCATGACCGACCCTTCTTGTGGCAGGTACATTTTGTTGGTTATGTGGAGAGCGGCGGAGAGCTGGGAACCGATGTCGTCGACTCTGTTGCGATCCGTTTAGGATATGGGGACATGATAGAGGCAAAGAGATGACTCGCTGAGATTAACGAGGCCTGTGAGAGGGCTCCATTGTCGTCAGTCGCTCGAGTAGGAGAGCGTAGGCACGGGGTTATCATAGATGTTTATACGCTGCCATGCCGAGTACTCTCCCGTTCTCGCGACAAATAGATTCCCGCGCCTAGCCTGTCCAAGGCGAAGTGCCGTCAGCCTCTCCTGTGGCAGCAAGATGATCACTCGTCGAGTTTTCCGCACCCTTTTCCGCACCCAACCTGCCAGATGCATACACCTTATCGACCCTCACGTGAACTTCTAGCGCACAATGTTGCCTCAATCGAGTTCCCGGCCCCAAGGAAGCCGGCCGGCGTCCGTGTCCTCGAGTACCCATGAGGCGTCATTAATGTTGCCTTCGATCGATCGCCACGCGCCGCGATCGACCACAGACCGCTGCAGAGATATATGTGCGATGATTGCGCGTCTGCCTCGTTCTTGTCTGGTGTCGTCCATTGTGGGTCGTGCTGGTGCTGTCGTCCATGTCGGCCGGCATCAGTCGCGGAGACTTGATTTGTGCGTCTATCCAGCCCCACCAGACTCAACATGGGTACGGCGGGCCGTGACGTCCAGCACCATGGACCGCAGCGGGACACCGCCATCGATCGGAGGAGCCCAGTCATCCCTCCTCCCAGCAGACGTTCGAATGGTAAGTGGTACCGCGCCGGAGAGTAGACGAGGGGGGTGGACTGACGAAGAAGGGAACAGCGCAACAGAAAGACAGCGAGACAGAAGTCCATCAAGACTAGGAGCTCATCAAGCTGCAGTGGCTGAGAGACAGGACGGGCAAGGAGCCGGGTTAGACGCTCGTGCCCGCCCCACGGAGCCCGCTCGTCGAGCCGCTCAATGGCAGGGGCACTCACGCGAGCACGCAACGCACCGCCCGCCGAATGGGAAGCAGCGGCGTCTTGCGCACTCCGGCGGCCCGCGAGACGGGCAGGGCCGCTGACGCGAACATGTCGGACGTGACGAGTGACGTGTGACGGCGGTGGTGGGTGACGGTGGACGGTGCTGAGGCGTCTGTGAGACGAGGGAGTGGTGCAGTCAGTGAGTCAGTGGGACAAGCCGGCTGTGGCCGGGGAGGGGAAATCAGAGGCAGTTGGGTTGCCGTGAGGGCGTAGGGAATGTGGAGCATCCCACCGTTCAGTCGCATGGCTACTCAGAAATGCTCCACGAACCGTGCTGGCAGAGATTGCTCCACCACGGGGCTCCTTGCGTCGACGTCGGTGAATCGGAGCGATGGCGGGGCCGACGCACAGGCGGGGCGGAGGGACCCCGGAATGAGTGAGCAGCGGCGGGGCACATGGGCCACGGGGTTGTCAGTGTGGAGAGGGCGGTGGGGCAGGATAAACGCTTCGAGGTGCTTCGGAAGTGGCTGCGAGAGGGAGGGAGGGGGATAGAGTGGAGAGTGGACAGGAAGCAGGAAGCAGGAAGCAGGAAGCAGAGAACAAGGGACGCGTTCGAACAGCAGATCTGCATCCTGCTGATACGATAGGGCGGGGATAGCCGGCCCACGGGGCCGGCTCGCGGGGTATGCGTATCAGCGCCATCGCCGATGTGCGTGATGGGCCAAGAGGGGGTGGAGAGAGGTGGGGGAATAGGCGGGGCAAGGCGAGGTGGCGCGGGGCGCGGGGCGTGGTGGCTGTGGCTTACTTGGCCGCAGCCGTAGCCGTAGTTCGCAGCCGGGAGGATGGGGTTGGCGGGGTCGCAAGTTGCTTCGTCGGCGGATCGGCGGACATCTCGGGAGGCGCGGGGCGCGGGGCGCGGAACAAGGCGCGAGGCGTATCGGAAGATCGCTTGGCGCATGGCGCAGTGGATCGCCAAGCCCGTGCCAACGGTGCATGGAGCGCGGCGTGGGGATCTGCCGGTGCACCGTGCGTGAAAGAGGCCATGATGACAATGAGCTATGAGCGCCGTGAGCCATGTGCCGTGTGCCATGTGAGGTACCGAGGTGCGATGTGGGGCAGGGCGACGAGGCGGTCTGTGCGGGCGCAGGGCTCGGGGGTGGGTCGGATGCACAACGAGGCGCCGAGGCTTCCCGATGTCCGAAGGCAGTTGCGTCAGCCAGCGAGGCCTGTGCGGCGAGGGCGCAGGGCTGGGTGGGGACAGGGAGGGAGGAGGCAGGGGGCAGGGGCGGCGCACGGATGGGATCGTCGCTTCGTCCTGAGGCTGGGCGAGGATGGCATGGGACGGCGAGGTGTGGTCGCGCGGGCGGTTAGGCGTGAGATCGCGAGAGAGCCGCGCCGGAGAGATAGGCTAGTATGGAGTTGACAGCGCGCCATCTCGATTGGAACGGCACTGCCAGAGCCCGTCGTCGGCCTGCGTCATACATCGCAGATCGCAGAAGCTGCGTGGCGGAATGAATATAGTTACTGTAAATGGACGTGATAAGCCCGATAATGATCAGCGTCGTGGGGAGATCTTCTCGGGGGATCGGTGAGCGATCCTTGGGCAAGACATCTGTGCCGACTGTGCGCTACTTGGATCTGCGTCAGTGCCGAACTCGGCGATCTGGTGTGATGGACGTGATCGTCAGTCCGATCCCTTCACTCGCTTCGATTGTATGTAATGAGCGTTATCGAGCGCACCCCACAATACTGTTATCGGCTATCCCCATGAGGTGAACTAGAACTCTCAGGCAAGAAGACTCGCGCACAGCGAGTCATACGAAGCGCCCGACCTTTCTGCCACACTCGGTATCATCACCAGACTCCATCATGTACTCACCATGCAGTCTGGGTGTGGGATAGAGATCCGGAGGTCGGAAGTGGGCAAGTGCCACTATCATATCAGCGACAATCTTGCGTAGCGACATGACAACCGAGCCGCGGCTCGTTCTTGTTCCCTGGCCGTGACAACCCAGCCAGCTGACTTGTGTTGAGCCCGATGACGATCCCTCCAGCCGTGAGCGCTGAAACAATCAGCTGATTGCGCGGGCAGCGTCGGCCGCTCCCTCTGCACCTCGGCATCTCCGCGACTCCTGCCACCGTTCTCCGCGCTCCGAGCTCCGAGGTCTCCGTGGCCGAGAGCAAGCACGAAGATAGCGCCATGTACCGGAGTTAAGAGCACGATACGGAGACTCGCCCAGGCGCGTGCCTGTTGCCGATCAGCGCCATGACGTATGGCGGAGTACGACGGCCGCGAAGATTGCCGGGAATAGGCCGCTGCCGTAAGGCGTTTGCCGTGGCTGCAGCTGTCGCCCGCCGCGCGTCCCGCTGTCGCCACGTGCAGGACATGGCTCGCTTGACGATGGCTGGTTGGCTGGCCTCTTGACTCGGCGCAGCTGTCTCGGGGAGCGCAGATGCCCGTCGACCGCGGCGAAGCTTGGCGGCTGGCGGGGCGCAGCGGCGCACGCCGAGCCCACCGCTCCACCCTACGCAGACCAATCCAGAGCGAGCGAGATTGGCGACTCGGGCGGTGGCCGCGGTGGGGCGGCTTTGTGGTGGAAAGTTGGAAACCCACGGGTCAGGTTCACAGTCCCTGAGTGACTGCCGAGCGGTGACTGCCTGATCGCCGGCTCACCGGACGTCTTGGAAATCGGCGTGGTGAGTGCGGCACGCCGTACGCCGTACGCACACGCCAAACGCCAGACGCTGGACGCCAGACGCTGCAACTCCGTCGCCCCAGCGTATCGTCGCCACTCGGCCATCACGACCAGCCCCAACGCGTCCCGATCGCAGCGGACAGCGGGCTTGTTCCCCACATTGGCCACACGGCCCCGCGCGCCAAGCCGGGCTGTGAGATCTCGCTTGTGTGCCAAGCCTTCCATTGCCGCCAAGTGTGGGGAAGCAGCGAGCAGAGGCGAGGCTGTTGTCGACAAGACAAGATGGTGTGAGAGATCACGCACTCGACGTGCCAGGGGCAGGAACATGAGACTGATCTGCACGATCTGCAGCCGGAGGCGGTCCGAGGCGAGGTGAGTCGTGGGGTCGGGCATGGCATGGAGCTGGGTGCTTGGAGCGTGAGCCTGGATGCGCGCAGCCGCCGCCACCAGAATGCAAGTTGGAGCTTGGAGCTTGGAGCTGGTCGAGCTGGGCGACGGGCACCTCGGATCCGGAGTTGTGGGTGGCATTGTGGCATGGGGGTGGGAAATTCCGAGACATGGGCCAGGGCAGGGATCGGCACCGGCGACCTGGGTGCGCGGCATGCACGGCCCATCGCTTGAACAGGATCAACGGTGATTCTGGTGATTTCGTGATTTCCGCAGCCAATTTTTTTTTTCTCATTCTTTTTTTGGGCTAGTCCACCGATCCACAGCCCCGACCTCACGCGACCACGAAGCAAGTCCACCGCTCCACTCGTCAGCGACGATGTGCACATGCTCGAACGCATGCGCACGAGCGACGTCGCTGTTTGTTTTGCACCACCTCCCCGCTCGCCGAATTGTAGCGTCGGATGAGCTCAGGGTCTATGGATCGTTATCAGTTCCCCCCTCATGTACCGTGTCAGGGAAGATGAAACCACCACAGGGAGGAGAGGTTCCTGAAGCCTGGCTCGGATCTCGGCCGGCCGCCCTTGTTGCTCGAGCTACAGTATCGGCCTCTAAACTCCTCTCTGCCATGCACGCATGCGCACGGCCGAGGTTCCGCACCTACGTCGTTGGCAGCTCGAGATTTCCGTCAGCGGCTGCGCCAGTGGGTTGAGACGGGCAGCTCGTACTGGAGCAGACAGAAGCGATTGCTCGCCCCGAAAGATGCATGCCTCGGTTGGCCTCGCTACTGGACGGGCTGTCGGACCGGCGGGCCGCTCGCTTACCGCCCAGGTCCCACCCCACTAAGGCTTGGTGTGGGGGTGCGGGGTAAGCTCGCTTCGCTTCGGTGAGCCCCAGCGGCCAGCCAGTGCGAGTGCCTGCATATGGAAGATGTGAAGTTCCGGAGGTGAGGTGAAGAAGCTTGGCTCAAGACCGCGAGGCACCATGCCCTCGTCTTGGACGAGGAGGCGTCGGCAGGCTCGGCTCGGAGGCTTCGGAGGGAAGCTCGGCATTCCAGCCTGACTGTGACTGGCTGGACGGAGCGACGGGGCTAGGAACCTCGTGTGCTGGCTGCTCGAGTTTGCACAAGCTTCCGCCGCGGATTTTAGCGACGACGCCCTTGGGCCTTGACCCTTGGGTGTGCATGGGAGTGCATGCGTGGGTGGTAGGTTCGTGATTTCGTGAGCTAGCAGGATCGCAGGACGGAGCACCGGAGCACGAAGCGTCGGGCAAAGCCTCGTGGTCGGTGGCTTTGCGGTTGGTGGTTTTGGATGCGCCAACCGCCAGGGGCAGGTGCAAGCGCACGAGCGAGATGGGCGCAGCAGAGGGCGGCTGGTGGGCGGCATGGGCGGTTGGCGCGGTTGGCACAGGCAGCATCGACTTGCTGACCTGCCGGATGGAGCTTGATTGCTTGCCCCTTGGTTTTGGAGACCCTAACAATTGAGAGATGGAGCAGATGTGCAGAGTGAAGAGGTGCAGAGTCTAGTAGCTATACAGCTAGGCGGCTGGCCAGCTGGAGTAGGTGGAGAGCTTGCAGAGATGCAGAGGGAGGGGCTACGGAGAGCGCAGTGTGGCTTGCAGATACGCGATGGGATGGGTAGATTTCAGGCGACGACCTACTCTAGGCTTCAAGGGGCAAGGGATGACGTTCAAGGTATCTCTGAGACTGCGCGCGTCAAGCCAAGTAGCCTCGACGCCTGATTCCTTTGATAAATGCCTTGATTGGGACACGTCACCTGGCGAGCTGGCGAGGAGCCGACCTCTGCTCTTCTGCATCAAGTCTTGGAGTTATTACTCTTGTGTGATGGCCGTGATGAGATGATTACTGTACTTGCAATTGCTTGTTGTCTCACTCTCCTCTGATGCCTTTGCAGCCCGTCTCTGGTGCACAAACCTTTTCGCCTATCAGGCACTTTTGCTGAATGCATTCCCTGATCATCTCAAGGTGGTGGTGCTCGTGCGCCACCCCGGCCGCCCCCCCCCGAGTGGCCGAGAGTGGATCGCGGGTCGGCCGCAGACGGAACTTGTTGAAGGCTGAGCGGGGTATGAGGTCCGAGGTCAAACTGCCCGCGGGCGCTCACGGCTCATGTCAAGGGGCATCCATCCGACGTTACGACGTGGGCCGTGGGCCGTGGGCCGTGTGCGTGTGGGTCAGCATGGGCGCACGAGAGCCAAGGCTCTTTGGGTGTCGTCAGCCTCGTCCAACCCTAGGCGCCCTCGAGAGTATTTCGCAATCCTTGGTCTTTGCCCCGTGTCGGTTCTGCAATCTGCAACGAGCTCTAGTTTGGACCCTACCGTGATGGGAGATGGGGGGATGGGAGATTGCTGATGGGCACGATGGACACTCTGGGCACGATGGGGGAGGCCAGTATTGACCAGCCTCCGAGCTCCCCGAGGTCAGAGGTCTTGGGGCTTGGGGGGGTCGCCGTTTGAGAGGCCGAGGGGTTAGTATCATGCGCTTGGCCGCCGCTTGCTTGGGTGGGCTGGTGCCTGGCGTTGACCAATCCAATTCCCCCCAGGCATGCGAGGCAAGCAACGCAGGCAACGCAAGCAAAGCAACCATGGGCCATCGCAATGCCATGAACCGGCCGCGCATCAAGTGATCGCAATCCGTGTACCGTACCTGGGCTGCTATCCCGTCTCGCCCACGTCCGCGGTTGCTAATGGGTAATGGCGGAGACAGGGGGGGGGGGAGGGGGGGGGGGGGGGGGGGGGGGGGGGGGGGGGGGGCATGCATGTGTCCACTCAAACACCTCTGTAGGCTCAGTGTGTGATGACCAGTCCAGTTGCAAGAGCCCGTGCCCACTTGGTTTTAAGAGCAACAGACGCTCGTACCCTCGTCCGTTCCCAACTTCCCTCTCCCCATTCTCTTTCTCTCTTTCATCTCCTCTCAGACCACCACTTCTCTCTCCCCTCCCCTCTCTCTCTCGCCCGGACGACTCGGATCTCCCCCTCATCCCTCTCCTCCGTTGGCCTCCACACACTCTTCGTATTCTCCCATTCTTCCCCTTACCAATTTGTGCAGGCAGTCCGTGCATCCGACCTCGCGCGAGAGCACACTCCTCCTCTTTAGTTGTCTTCTTTCATCTTCCTCCCCAAGCAAGCAGCGCAAGCCGCTAGCACCACAAGCACCAAGCACCAAAGCTCAAGCAACCGTCGCACAAGCACAATTCTTGTCTGGTTGACGTAGCCGACCCATATTCGTACGGTACGCTACCCGGTCCAACCCAAACAAGCCTCGCTTTGCCGCCTCGCCTCGCCCTCCGCCTGGTCGCCCACCCTACCTACCAACCCAACCCTTTTCCCCCTTTTTCACCTTCCTCCCCTCTCCTCCTACCCCCCTCTCCCCCCAAGGCCCTGTCCAATCACCGGACATCCCACCCAGGCATCTGCCGTATTTAGATAAACCCATCACCCACCTCATCCACTTCCCCATCCTCCCTCTCCCTCTCCCTCCTCTCTCTCTCTACCCCCCCTCTTCTCCGTCGACTCGACCGCCATGTCCGAGAACGAGAAGCACACCCCGGAGGAGGTCCCCGTGAAGTGAGTTTATTTTTCTACCCCCTCTACGACGCCGACGACGACGACGACGACCATCAACTACTATACCCCTCTATCTAGTATGGTTGGCTGGGTGACTCAGGGTTTACCCACCCAAACGGCACTCATGCCATCCACCTACCCACCCTCCAAACAGCTAGCCCACTTTTCAAACCATCTCGGAGGGGAACAACGCCCTCCGCCATCACCATCACCATCACCATCGCCATCGTCATCGTCATCCCTGTCATCGTCGTCGCCATCTCACCCTATCTCCTCATCCCATCTCTCTGCTCTAGAATTTGTGCTGACTCTTGCAGGGAGTCCTCGCTCCCCGCTCCCGCGGCTGCAGGAACTGCTGGTGAGTACACACACAGTGGCGTTGGATAGAGGGGGGAGGAAGTGATTCCGCTGCGGTGTGGGTGATCAGACCGATACATCTCGTACACCATCCCATCCGCAGCCGCCCCCATCAGCTTCCTCCCCTCTCCCCTCCAATACCCCCGCCCCACACATTTCATCATGCTGACTTTTCGCAGAGCCCAAGAAGGAGCGCAACTATGAGGGCATGACCGAGAAGCACGAGGGCGACAAGCACGCCAAGGTGGACATGAACACCGTGAGTTTTATTGTCTGGGCCAAGAAGGGCGGGTGGGCTGTGCTTGGCTTGGCCAAGTGTTTTGCCTTGCCCACCACGCCATGTGACCACCATGAGCAACCAACCGAACCCATGTCCCATGTCCCATGTCCATAATCCACATCCCCGTCTTGTGCCTCACTCGTCCGCCCCGCATCACGCGTGATAAGCGAGGTGTCAACGGGAGTGCGGGGCTGTGGTTGTGGCCGGTGTGCCCGGGTCGTGCCTCTTTTCGTTGGCTCCGAGTCTTAGCGATGGACCCTGGCTGACGTTCCTAGATCTCGTTCACCGCCGCCGACCTGTACGACAAGGACAAGGTCGACATCGAGCACATTGTCATGGAGGAGGTCTTCCAGCTCCTCCAGTGCGACGACAAGGGTCTCACCACCGCCGAGGTGCAGAACCGTATCGGCATCTTCGGTCCCAACAAGCTGCAGGAGAAGAAGGAGAAGTGAGTTGTGCACACGGACCCTGAGATTTGCAGCTTCGGGCTGTTCCTGGCTTGCATATCTCCAGAAAACCACATGGTTCAACCGCTGACCACCCCTCCAGCGCTTTCCTTCAGTTCCTCTCGTTCATGTGGAACCCCCTCTCCTGGGTCATGGAGGGCGCGGCCATTGTCGCCATTGCCCTTTCCAACGGTGGCGGTCGCCCCCCTAACTGGCCCGACTTCACTGGTATCGTCCTTCTTCTCCTGATCAACTCGACTATTGGTTACATTGAGGAGCGCAACGCCGGCAACGCCGTCAAGGCCCTCATGGACTCGCTCGCTCCCAAGGCCCGTGCCAAGCGTGACGGCGCCTGGGCTGAGATTGACTCTGCCGACCTCGTTCCCGGTGACCTGATTGCCTTCAAGCACGGTGACGTCTGCCCTGCCGACTGCCGTCTTATCGAGGCCATTGATGTTTCCATGGACCAGGCCGCCCTTACCGGCGAGTCGCTTCCTGTTGGCAAGGACGAGGGCGACGAGTGCTTCTCCGGCTCCACCTGCAAGCAGGGTGAGGCTGAGGGCATTGTCATCTCCACCGGTCCCAACACCTTCTTCGGTCGTGCTGCCACCCTTGTCGGCCAGGACAACGACCAGGTCGGTCACCTCCAGATGGTTCTTGCTCGCATTGGTTCGTTCTGCCTGATCTCGATCGGTCTCTTCATCGTCCTCGAGATTGTGATCCAGTACCCCAAGTTCAAGTACGACTACCGCCGTGGTCTCGACAACATCCTTGTGCTCCTGATCGGTGGTATTCCCATTGCCATGCCTACTGTCCTCTCGGTCACCATGGCCGTCGGTGCCCAGCAGCTCGCCAAGCACAAGGCCATTGTCACCCGTATCACTGCCATTGAGGAGCTTGCCGGTGTCACCATTCTTTGCTCGGACAAGACTGGTACCCTTACCACCAACAAGCTCACCATTGACAAGGAGAACGTCAAGTGCTACTCGCACTGGGACGTTGAGGGTGTCTGCCTCCTCGCCGCCTACGCTTCGCGTACCGAGAACCAGGACGCCATCGACACTTGCGTTGTTGGCACCCTTCCCGACGCCAACCTCGCTCGCCAGGGCATTGAGCTTCTCGACTTCAAGCCCTTTAACCCCGTTGACAAGCGTACCGAGATCACTTACCGTGACAACATGGACGGTGGCAAGCTTAAGCGCGCTACCAAGGGTATGACTGGTATCATTATCGACCTCTGCTCGCGCAACAAGACCTCTGAGGTTGAGGACCAACTCGAGGCCGACGTTGAGGAGTTTGCTCGCCGTGGTCTCCGTGCTCTCGCTGTCGCTTACGAGGACGTCATGGGCAACACCCCCGACTCGCCCGGCAACGGCTTCGAGCTCGTTGGTCTTCTCTCGATCTTCGACCCCCCTCGCTCGGACACCAAGAAGACCATCGACGACGCTCAGGCTCTCGGTGTTCAGGTTAAGATGGTCACTGGTGACCAGCTTGCCATCGCTAAGGAGACTGGCCGCCGTCTTGGTCTCGGTGACCACATGTACCCCGCTAAGGTTCTCAAGGACGGCCCCGAGGCTGGTGGCAAGCACGCCAACCTCGACGAGATGATCATGGACGCCGACGGCTTCGCTGGTGTTTTCCCCGAGCACAAGTTCGAGATTGTCAAGCGTATCCAGGCCCTCGGCCACCTCTGCGCCATGACTGGTGACGGTGCCAACGACGCCCCCGCTCTTTCGCGTGCCAACGTCGGTATTGCCGTCGAGGGTGCTACCGACGCTGCCCGTGGCGCCGCCGACATTGTCCTTACCGAGCCCGGTCTCTCGACCATTGTCCACGCCATCTACGGTTCGCGTGTCATCTTCCAGCGTATGCGCAACTACGCCATCTACGCCTGTGCTGTCACCATCCGTATCGTCGTTGGCTTTGCCCTCATGGTCTTCATCTGGCAGTTCGACTTCCCTCCATTCATGGTCCTTATCATTGCCATCCTTAACGACGGTACTATCATGACCCTCTCGCTTGACCGTGTCCTGCCCTCGACCACCCCCGACTCGTGGGACCTTGCCGAGGTCTTCTCGTACGGTATCGCTTACGGCCTGTACCTTGCCGTCTCGACCATTGCTCTCTACGCCATTATGCACGAGACCACCTTCTTCGAGGACAAGTTCGGTGTCGCCCGCCACCAGGGCAACGACCCCGAGGCTCGCATGGTCATCTACCTCCAGGTTGCCATCATCTCGCAGGCCCTCATCTTCGTCACCCGTTCGCACGGCCCCTCGTGGACTGAGCGTCCCTCGGTTGCCCTCATGGTCGCCTTCTGCGTTGCCCAGCTCATCGCCACCATCATTGCCGTCTACGGCAACTGGGGCTTCACCCACGTCCGTGGCATCTCGGGCGGCTGGGTCGGCATTGTCTGGATCTGGAACCTCATCTGGTACATCCCGCTCGACCTCGTCAAGTTCATCATGCAGAGGACCGTCATCGCCGCCCTCCAGCGCCGCAAGCACCGTGCCGCCGTCCCTCTCGTCGACGAGAACGGCGAACGCCTTGTCCGCACCGCTTCGCGCCACGAGTCGCTCTACTCGAACCGCACTTCGTTCCTTGGCCGTGCCGGGCGCGCCCTCAAGGGTGGTGCCAAGGTCCACATGTCCAAGAACGAGCTTGGCCGCTTCGGCTCGATCCAGGCGCAGCAGTCGGGTGCTGCGCTTGCCCGTGCTGGCTCGCGCCACTAAGCAGTGTGTTGGGACGGGTTTCCTTCACATCTCTCTCTCTGCGGCAGTCCCCCCCGCGATCCTCCTTCCTACTAGCTAGCCTGTAATTGTGTGCCCACGCTTGCCTCACATATCAACCCCCCAACCCCCCTCCCGAGTCTGTACCGCAGTAGATCACTGCCCTGCGCCAGACTTCCTCCCAGGCTCAGCACCCCTTTCTACCATAGTTGAGCCTCAGTAATTAGCATTTATCTGATGCAAGTGGTCGGTCTAGATTTTCACGCGGAGTTGGGGCAGGCGCCTATACCTGATGGAGGCGGCTGGCGCTGTCTCGCCCCCCCCCTTCTTGGGCAGCGCTAATAATCGACTCTTCGCACATAGCAGCCTTACCGCTCCCGAACTCCGAAGTGCCACACCAAAAACTTTGCTGAAATTTCGTCCGCGAATAGTTCTTATCGCAACCCGGGTCCGATGGTGGCACTAACTGAACTGGGTTGGGAGCTTCAGACCCTTACCGCCCACATGCGGTCGTTCCCAACCAGTTGTTCCCAACTGCGCATGCACTTTTCGAATCGCGGTTGCCCGTGCGCCGACCTCACCGTCGTCGAATCCGGGCGCTGAACGCAGATGCATTCGAAACGCGGATTCGAAAATGGATTGCACTGCGCCAATGCGCCAACCTGCCGCGTGGACGCCCTCCCTGTCCTTACCCCTACCTGTATATCCCTTGCTCCAGCCTGAGGCGTGAGGGTAGCCTGCGCCTGAGAGTAGTCCTCCTTGGCTCCTGGCTGCAGCCCTCATCGCGCGCAGCTGCTGATCGGACTTGACCGTGTGGATGGCATCTGACATACGTCACCACCACTCTCACCTTGTATCTCCCAACTCTCCTCCGTCCAGCCCACAATGCAGACCTTGCGCGGCACGCTGGTCGACACGCCCCAGCTCGGCGCCCTCCGCATCCGCCGCGATCATGTCATCTGTGTGTCCCTCGTCCTCGTCCTCGTCGCTGACGCAGGCGTCGACGCATGCGGCGTAATCAGCTCCATTGCGCCCGCGTCCGCCACCACGCCCGCCCTCCTCGCCTCCGCAACGCCGCTACCCCGCCACACCTTCCTCCTCCCCCCCTTCGCCGACCTCCATCTCCATGCACCCCAGTACCTCAACGCCGGCAGCGGCCTCGACCTGCCCCTCATGGAGTGGCTCGACGCGTACACGTATCCAGCCGAGGAGCGGGTTGACGCGGATCCCGCGCTCGCTGCGAAACTGTATACGCGCCTCGCGCAGCGCCTCCTCGAGGCCGGCACGGGTGCCGCTCTCTTCTTCGGCACGATTGGCGTCGAGGCCAAGTGAGCCGTGCTGACTGCTGACTTCAATGACTGACGGCTGACTCTGACGGCTGACGCCAGTCTCATTCTGGCAAAAGCGTGCCAGGACGCCGGCGTACGAGGCTACATCGGCAAGCTTTCGATGGACCAGAGCCCCGTGGGGTCTTCCTTCCTTATGCCTTCTCCGTACGCCACGCTCACTGACCCAAGCGCTCCACATACGGCGAGGCCTCGCCCGCCGAGTCGCTCGCCAATCTGCACGCGTTTCTGGACAGCATGGCGACCCTCACGTCCCCTCTTGCGCCACACGAGCGCTTGGTGCAGCCCGTCCTCACACCCCGTTTCGTCCCAGTGTGCAGTGACGCGCTCCTCTCATCCCTCGGCGCGCTCGCCGCCGAGCGCAACCTCATGATTCAGAGCCACATGTGCGAGTCGCGCGACCAGATGGCCTGGGTGCACGCCACGCGCGGTCGGAAAGACGAGCACGTCTTCGACACTGCCTGCCTCCTTACTCCCCGCACGGTGCAGGCGCACGTGACGAGCCTCACGCCCAACCTTGTGGGCCTCATCAAGGAGCGCGGGGTGACGGTCGCCCATTGCCCGCTCAGCAACGCCTACTTCTCTGACGCGGCTTTTCCTCTGCGCGAGTGGGTCCGGTTGAGGGTGCTCCGCGCTGATGCCAGGGCACTGGACGCCGGCGTCAAAATCGGGCTGGGGAGCGACATCGCGGGCGGGTACGCGCTTCCAGTCCAGGCCGCGATGCGGAACGCCGTTCTCGTCGCGCGGCTGCGGGAGGGTGCGAAGCGAGAGGCTACCTTCACAGCGGCCGCTGGGGCCGAACCTGCAGTCAAGGACGGGGAGGGGATCGCAGAGCCGGACGAATGCAGTCTACGCGTCGACTGGACCGAGAGCTTGTACCTCGCGACGGCGGGGGGTCGGGCCGCCCTGGGGTTGCCGGGCACGTTTAGAGTCAGCGCGCCGTTCGACGCACAGCAGAGTGAGTCTGCGGATCGCAGGGCTGACAGCAGTCACGTTGGCGGGCGACGACGGGCCGCTCGGGCTCATTGACTTCTTCGACCTACCGTGCGAAGACGCAGACGACACTTGGTGGCGCGACGCAATCGAGCGCTGGTGGTGCGTCGGCGACGACCGGAATCGGACGGGCATGTGGGTGCAAGGCCGGCGGGTGCGCTAGGCGGATGTCGGGGGCGACGCCGCCTTCGACGCCGTTGGTCTGCCATGGAGCGCAGGAGGCTGTGGTCGTGACTGCACGCGACTGATTTTCGTCTCCCTTCACTCTTGCCCTCCTCGCTCCTTTCCTTTCCCGTACCCCCTGCTGTACGCCTGCAGCCAGTCTCTAAGCCATCCCACCATCGCCTACCAATCCCCGGCTTCTTTATGCTCAGCTCGAAGCACCCCCTCGGAAACCCACGGCGCCACGAACGAGGGTGTCGGTCGTATGAGAGCCACAGCCCCCATTTGTGTATCCGCATCGCCGTGGGAGGTGACTCGAGGATGCGCTAGCCCGCCTCACCGTCCCTAGATCACGCGCGCTGGCCTGAGGCAGCGACAAGGAGCGGAAAGCGGAACACAAGCAAGCCGACAGAGCGGCCTGCACAGGGCATAGTAGTGCTTGAGATGCAACGGAAAGTCGTGCGACAAGTTCTACTAGGATCGCAAGCTGTCGCTATCACCCTTCACTTATCCTTGGCTGACCCTCATACCATTCACGACCGAGACTTGGCAGGACAGCGTGTGTCCCGCCTGTCCGCCCAATTTACGCCACCCGCCACGACTACACCACGCACTTTCAAGTTGGCACTGTTCTGTCGATGCCCACTCGCGCAACAAATGCCACACGCTGCTACGACCCTCCACCCAGACTCTGTGACCGTGGGCAGGACCGCGCACCCATGCCGCAACATGATATACTGTCCATGGCTAATCTACGGCGGCGAGGCAGGCCTTCCAGAGGAGCTGCGACTGTCCATCACCGTCTGCGTGTGCGAATGTAGGGTGATGGGAATGGGGACGGATGGAGGGATGGATGGAAAAGGCTAATGTAACATATACTACGTGCACGTGGGGATCACGAGGTCCTTCATGACGCGGTCCTTGTCAAAGATGCCCCTGGGTGTGAGCGCAGTTCGTGGGTGCGGATGCCAAGACTCGGCGCAGTCTCGGCGCAAGCTCGGCAGGCGGAGGCCAAGCCGGAGAATCGTCTTCCGAGCTGGCTTAAGCCAGCCCGCGCACGCCCAAGTGGCTCGGCGCACAGCCACTGCCACAGGCGCGCCTATACACTCTCCTTACGCCCTCGCGCCCTGTCGCGCCCTCCACCCTCCACCGGCTCCACACTGCTCCACGTCCAGTACTCACCAGTAAGGCTCCACACCACCGTACAGCGGCTCCTTCCACTCCTGGTCGAAGGGCTCGAAGAAGAAATAGTGCGTCTGGTTGGTGTTGGCCTGGCAGACGAAAGTGTCGAGGAAGGTCTGCAGCTGGGCCACGGTAGCGTCGCTGGGGTCGTTGCCCGACGTCTGTCCAGTGTCGTCGCCCTTGGGAGTAGTGTACTTGGTAGGCCAGCCAGTCTCTGCAATGTACATAGCAGGCTGGTTGGAGGCCGCCTGGGAGTAGACGACGTCGTTGTTCATAAAGTAGTCCCATGTCCAGCCGGCAGCCTGGTCGATGGGGACCTTGCCGAACCAAGGGTGGACGTTGGCCATGTAGAAGTCGACGCCCTCGGCGAGGGTCTTCGAGAAGAGGGAGCCGGCGTCGCCTGTTCCAATGGGGAGAGTTTTGCTAAGGCCAAGGGCCTGAACCTTGGCCTTGATCTCGTTGACATAACCGAGAAGCGTCTGTACGCCCTGGAGGTACTTGGAGCCAGTTGGGCTAACATTGCCCTGGTTGAGGAGCCACTCGTTGCCGACGGCGAGACCTTCAATGTTGTCGGTTCCGTACGTCTGCAAGGCCTCGAGGATGGCGTTCGTCTGGTCCTCGTAAGCCTGGGTGTTGCTGTCAATGTAGATGGCGGGGAAAATGGTCATGTTGACCTTGGTCTGCTTGATCGCCTCGAGGACAAGGGCCGTCATGTTGCAGTTGGCACCGTACAGGCGGAGACGAGTGGTCATCTGCGAGACGATCTGCATGTCTCTGATGACGGCCTCGAGCGTCGCGCCGCACGTTGGGGGAATAGCGCCGTCTGGCTGGTAAGCCATGCCCCAGAAGACCTGGTGCAGACGGGTATCCTTGTCAAAGTTGGAGGGGTCGTTAGGGTCCTTGATGGTAGTGCCGTTTGTGCTGGTACCCGACTTGGAAGAGCCACCATCCTTCTTGTTGGTCTGGGTGAGGACGACAGCCACGACGACACCAGCGATCACGGCGATGAGGATAATGGCGCCAATGATCCACCACCACTTCTTCCTGCTCTTCGACTGGGTAGGCTCGGGGTACTGGTAGTTGGTCTCCTTGACCGCTGAGGCCGAGCCGCCACGCTCCATGGCCCAGAGCTGGTCGGCGTTCATGCCGTCGGTCGACTGTGGCGTGTACCCGCCTTGGCTGTAACCGCCGTTGCCATAGCCGCCACCGCCGTTGCCGTAGCTGCTGTCTGGTGGGTAGGCGTTGTATCCGCCGCCACCGCTGTTGTAGGCCTGCTCGGGGACGTAGGGCTGCTGAGCGCCACGGTAGGCGCCGTAACCAGCAGCGCCTGCAGCAGCACCTGCGCCTGCAGCCATGGCTGGCTCAGTCATACGATTGTATTGGTTGTGTGGGGGTCGTCCGTGCGCGCCTGGGTTCATCGAGTCTTGGGGGGGTGTGGGAGTAGATTTGGGAGAGTCGTTGAAGGGGTCCGAGTAGATCGAGGCGCGGTGAGCGGGGGGGACCTCGTCGTGTTCTAAAGGAGTGTGAGCTAAGTGGCGAGAGGGAAATGGAAAGAGAGGGAGAAGGAGAGAGAAAAGGAGAGCTGAGCGAGAGGGAGAGAGTTGGGTGAGAGCGGGTGTGAATGTGCTAACGACGACGAGGAGGAGGAGGAGGACATGGACGCCTGGTGGCAGGTGAGGAGGGCAACAGATGGGTGCTCGGGCCAGGCCAGGTCAAGCTGCGGGGGACGGGGGAAGGGGGGACGGGGGGGGGGGGCGGTTGGCCCATGGCCCATGGCTGATCGTGGCTTGAGCAGGGGCCTTTCAGGCAGACGGGTTGCAATGCCTTGAATT